CATCTACAAACTGGAAGAAGACTTGGAGGTAAAGAAATAGTAGAGGAAAACAAGTGAAGACAGAGACAGCTCCATAATAACTAAAAGCAGCAGAGACTGCCTTAGGAAGGTGAGTGACAAGAGCTGATGTGATACCTTTAATCTCTCCAAGTGACCATCCCAGTCCCTCCTCTTCTTTCCTCCCTATGTCTAGTTTTTCACTCTACAGAAAAATTAGGAATTAAGTGACTAAAACTAGCAAAACAATAATGCATTGTCAGTAACTTCCATGACTGCCATATCAGCTTGAAAAGCTGTACTCAAAAAGTTCCAAAATGTCTAAGAAACCTTCTTCCCCTTACACTTCAGTTCAGCTCCTGTGTGGGAGATGAGCCATGGAAAGACCAAAGACTTCTGTATAGTGCCAAAGTTTAAGGCATTTAAAACTTGAAAGATTTAGCAAAATAAGTTACTAGAAGTTCAGCAGAGCCAGATGTGTAAGACAAAACAGGTCCATGACTGCCTCCACACAAGCTGTAGCTGGGTGCTGAAGGAAAACCACGGCTCCTTTCCATGCTCTCAGTGTTCTGTTGGGTCCCCCGGGGAAGCCACACCCAGGCAGACACCCCAAGGCCTGGCACGAGGGTTCCAGCTCCCACGACAAACAGGGTTACTGACATGAATTCAAATAGCTTTTACTTAGACTTTATAGTACGATTTATTTATACAATACAGGAACATTCAGAAAAGGAAAAATGCATTTTCAGAATTAAATGCTTTGTATTAACACCCTTGTGAAACTGAATTCTGTGGATAAAAGTAAAATATAACAAACAAGAATAACAGTAATAAATTAAAAAAGACTAAAAATAATTCACAAAACTCTATTTAACCTGAAATGACATTTGGGTAATTTTTGAAGTGAGTTTCTTTTGTCCTTTATGGTTGAAACCATTTTTCTTTTAAAACAAGAAAGAAAAAACTGCCAGTCACATAAGTTCATCTCACTCCAGCTCTTCAAAATTTCCAAAATGAATCTGAATCAAAACAATCACTCAACCAATTCACAACAAAATTAAGACTCCCAAAGAGGCACAGATGTGAAAACTTCAATTCTCCCTATTGTATTGTTTTCTCGGAGCAAAGTCACAAGGAGCAGCCGAGCCAAATGAATCGGCTGCTGCTGCCAAAGAGGGTTTTGTTCCCACTCATGCCTCCCTCCCTCCCTCTTCCCACTCCACCCTTGGCTCCACAAGCTGGGCATCAGCCTTGCTGCCTACTCAAACTGCCCAAAAGTTTCCGATCCCTAATGCTGCAAGAATTACCCCAATTTTATTCACAGGTTAGAGAGCTGTATTGGGCCACAGAAGATCCCAGTCAGCAAAATAATCCTACGTGGGACTATGTGGTCAGGAGCTGCTGGGGGAAAAACAGCTGCTTGCTGCAGCAGAGACAAGCTGCTAGATCAGCCTAAAACATACCCACACCAATTCACTTTCACTCAGAAATTAAGAAAATCCAGGTAAATATGCTTTCAGTTGTTCTGTCACTTTATGATGGTGACCACATCCTAAGCACCATACCAGCTGAAGTATTTTTCAACAAAATACAAGAGTCTTTCAAATGAAATCCTGACTCATCTACATCAACAAAGATTGCTACAGAGCTAACACTGTAGATTTATCAAGACAAAAAGAATAATAATAAAAGAAAACCTTGGAAATGTGTTTAGAAAAACTGTATTTATAGTATCAGATGACTTTGGAATAATGCAGACCTAGCTGCCATGACTTATTTCATATGCAAATACTCATTGCCATTTAAAATTATAAAATCAGGAAGTAAACATATATTTTAAGAATATATATTTTAATGCCTATATAAAAATGTAAACACACAGAAGTAATTAAATCTCATCAAAAGCACTTCTACTTACCTTGTGTATTTTAAGAGCCCCTGTGTAATACTGATGCTCCATTAAAAACTGGGTTCTTAAGTTTCTGTGAATAAATTATCATAAGGAACTGAAAATAAAGACTAAAAATATATTGGAATTTACAATAATTATCATATTTCTATGAATATGAAATCAACTAAAACTAAACAGCTTTTCTATCCCCAAAAGCTAAACAGTTGTAAGACACCTTGTTATCAATGATACGAGTCCTAATGCCAGCTGGAGTGCTTTAGGGGACAGGACAGTTTATGACAGAAAGATGTTATGAGCTCACCCAAGAACTCAACAAAGTTGCGTCCTGCTGTCCCTCCCTCCACGGCACTGGGACAAGGCCTAGTACTGACTGACAAAAGCTGAAACATGTGCTTATTGGGACACCTAAGAAGAAAAGCTATATTGTCATTGGAAAATGAAGCAATGCCTACAAATCTAAGAGATCCAGTAGTTGATTTGTGGACATTTTATCCTATAATTGTACTGAGAAATAAAGAAAAAACCCAAGATAAAGGAAAAGTCTGCATTAAAAATGCATACAGATATTTTAATATTACATATTTGCCCTACACTTATGTGTATTATAATGTTTATATTGAACATAATGAATGAATTCAGGTTAAAAGTTGAGATACCAAAATAAATTCTCCAGACTTTGACTGCTTTGTGCATTTTCAACAACATTAATTTCTACTTTATGCGTGAAATGTACATTCTTCCAGTATTTAGTTAATACACCACTTAAACACAATACTTTTCCTTGTGTTTAAAGTTGAGTGAATATATAAAGCAGAAGTTTTAACCAAAAATCAGAACCCAGACCAAAAGCAACTGCACAGGTTACAGGCAACGAAGGTGAAGAGGATAAAGAGCTTAATCCACTGTCCAAATACCAAGTTTTAACTCGAATCAGTGTCAGGTTGTAACTTTGAAATAGTCATCAATTTTTCATCAGAAGAGAAGCCCAGGCTAACCTGCCATCGGTGAGATCTTTGGCAGGCAAAGACCTCCACTTTCAAAACCTTCCACAAGGGCCGGGCACGTCCAGGGAGTCACCGCAGAAACTTCACTGACAAAGAAACCACCCTGCACTGTGGCAGGGTGAAGCATCCCATAAACATCCCCTCCAGACAATCTGCTGCTTAAAAGCCTACAAGAAATGAGTTTTCACATCATCATTAGGTGCGTGTTAGAATGTTTTTCACCTCAACATTCAATAAAAATATTTTTCCTTGTGAATAAAGCTAATCCCTCCCTTCCCACAGGATCAAGAACAATTGATAAACATTTTTCATTGTAGCAATATTTTAGGTATGAGAAGGGCGAGTTCCTTCCTTGGTCTTCTTTTATTCTAGACCAGGAATACTCAGTTCCCTTTATTTATTTTCTTATACACAATGTTATCTTCCTTCCATTTGCCCACCTATTTCTTAAAATATCTTGCCCTCAATCACTGGTGCTTGATATAATAATTATTTTCAACTCTTACACAAAAAAAATTCCTCTTAATCCTTAAATGAGTTTTACTTTTGCAGTAATATCAAACTGCTCACCTGTGTGCGACCAGATGCTATTTTTTTCTCACTGCATCTCTTACAAGATGGGGGAAAGGTCTGCTTTCAGGCACTTCATTTTCCCTGGAGTTCAGTATTTCACATTCATTTGTACTGAATTTCAGTTTGCTGCTGTTGAATCACCTGTGCAATCTGCTGAATTATTCTGACTTCTGAGCACATCTATCAGCTTGTGAACATTGCCTCTCCATGTTGCGCCACCTGCAGACCTCAAACTTTGTATTCCATCACATTAATGTATTTGAACCAATATTTTGAACCAGGAACATGACATAACCTCAGAAACTGCACTGGAAAAAGCTTTTTTAGATTTCCCCCCAGTTCCAATTTTCTATTGGCAGTATCCTTGCCATATTTCCATAGCATATATCCAATAGTTCACTTAAAGCCATAAAGCAGAATATATGATGGCAGAATTCCTTGACAATCCTTGATTCTCACGTTACAGTTCTGCCTCAGTTCTGTGCCTGTATCACTGAACAATACATTTTCCCTCAGCCTCAGAGTGTATATCGATGTCTCCAAAAGTAGAAACTACACCAGCCTAAATTATCCATGACCTCATTTTTAAAACATAAATGCATCTGCCGTCACTCTCCTAAACAATGCCAGCTTTCATTGCTTATTAGCCCAGGTCTCCCACAAACACCCTTGGCACTGTGATACATCACTCCTTAGCCAAGGGAAAAATACCTCAAAGTATTTCCATCGAGCTGTTACTGCAGCCTCCCAGACTCTGCCTGTGATTCACAGTTCACGGTGCTCACATGACCACTCGCTGCCTCACCAGGGGTGCTATGCTGAGCTGCCCACAACAGGCTCAGTACCTCGTTCTACAGTGCTTGGGTTTCCTCTCGCACCTTTAGCTCACCTAAGCTTGCAGTGGTTGCCAGGAGGAAACAAAAAGTGGGCTTCCCTGGACATGGCACAGCAGCAGATGGGGAGAGGCTGCCATCATGTCTGAATCCAGCCCAAACATCCCTTAACACGTGTCCAAGTGCAACAATTAGCACAACTATCCATGCATTATTAAAGGGATGTGGTGTCTGAATAATAAAATAAGTATATACATATTACAAAATACCTGAGCCTATCATGTTCTTATTCTACAGGTAACTTCTACATACATATAAAGGAAACAGATTAAAAGTGGCAGTTATTTTTCTCTATTGTTAAAACATCTAAAAAATTAATTTTTTAAATAAAACATTTCCTAGGTGTAAATAGTACACTGCATAAAACACAGTTAAAAAAATTTAAATTTCACCATTTCATCATTTCAAATCCCAGACCTAGTTTAATCTACTGATGTATTTCTCCAGTGGATTCATGAGCTGACCATATAGAATGCTTCCAAGTAAACCACCCCTCAGCAGGAAGAAATATGTATTTTTCAGTATTTTAATTTTTAAGCTTTTCAAAATTATTTTTAAATTTTAGCAAAACCATCTTTCAAAAGTATATTCGAATGTCAAGCTTGAAGAAAAAATTCTGCCTCTGTGAAAATAATTTGTAAACTTTATTGGGTTTTTAAAAGCCTGATTACAGGACAAAACATGCATTATGCATTTTGCTAAAATTCCAAAAACAATTGCAGAACTTCATCATATTCAAAGGCTCATGTCCATAATAAATACCATCAGCTTAAAAGCAGCTTGGGATTTTTCAAGAGTTTTATTAATCTGAAAAATGCAAATGTTATATATACTGTTCTTTTAAAAGTCTGACATTACTTTGCAATGGTTAAAGCAAGAAACAGCTCAGCTGAAGACTACAGAAAATCCCTGTCTTCTGAGGAGGTCATACAATACTGCTCTGGAAACAGCCCGTCACCAAAGGCCTGGCAATTGGCTTCGGCTTAAAACATACTCTGCCTCTAACATTCTTCAAAGGATTAAACCATAATTGATTCTGGCAATACACATGGTCAGCGTGATGTGCAGGGGGTTGCCAGTGGACATGGGGCCCTTACATAAAGAGCCATTTTCTTTGTTTAAAATGGAAAAAAGAGTGGGAGGTGTGGAGAACAGTGAAATACAAAATGAGTCAGAATCATAAACCATATTTTTTGAATCAGATTTCAACAACCACATATGCAAATAGAAGGCTTCAAAGGTGGCAGAGGTTCTGAATTGCTAAGGCAATTCACTTATTCTTAGTTCCATAAAAAAAGATAGAAGCTATAGTTATATACATCCTTCTAAGTACTCCAAGAATATTGCAAGTTGAACTCCAGAGAAGCCACCGATATCAGTCTGAAAGTGACGGGGAACGGACTGATCGTGCACTGGCTGGACTGTTAGAGAAAGCAAAGGGATCCTTCTCCTTTTCTTTAGTATCATGTTTATGTTTATGCTTATGCTTATGCTTGTGTTTCTTCTTCTTTTTCTTGTGCTCATGGTGGTGATGGTGGTGGTGATCGCTGTGTTTTGAGGAGTTTGATTCTTTACTAAACACAGAGAGTGGAGCTGCTGAGACAGGGTGCATGTTTATCTCTCCCGAAGATTGTTCTTTACCTAAAGGAATGGATATAGTGGGATTAGTAAATGTTTAACTTGCACTGTTTCCAAAGCTAAGAAATTCTGAATTATTAGATAAAGCCTACATTATCATTTAAACATGCTAACACAAGATCTGTTATGATACTTGTACCATTAGCTTTCTGGTTTTGAAGGCTCTGAACGTGCCATTTAAGTTCCTGTACTGCTGACAATTTTTACAGAGATAGTCCTTCCTTCCTCAACAGCATAAAAGTATCCCAGACAATTAGGAACTGTAAAGAGCTAAGAAACTCCCAAGTTATATAAGCTTCCTGATAACCTTTGTATGACAAACAAGTACTGAGAACAATTTCTTTTTAGCCTTACCCAAAACATTAAGGATTGATTTAATCAAGCACATCTATAGGAAAGTTTCTAGTTGGTACAGCTGTTCTGGGTATTGTTTGTTTGTTTTTAAATATGTCTGGAAAAAACAAACTCTACATTTGTATGAAGTATTTAGAAGTCAGAATAGACACACAAAATGTTTTTACAGTGAGGATAATCAGTGACTTACTATGGGACATGGTGACATCTCTATTGCTTGAATTCTAAAACAGCAAAATTATGTCTTTCTAGAAAAATGTTTGGTCTTAACCACAAGACGTGAATATGGTGCAAAATAAAATTATGCTGAGGTGATGAAGGAGTCTAGAGTACAATAGTTTCCTATAAACTTAAAATCTCTAATATACAAGTATTTAAAAAAGCTTTAATTCTTATTTAATCCGAAAACTCTGCAGCAGTAAGCTCATGTCATCAATGCAAAGATATACACAGCGATTCCAACTTCTACTTGTTGAATTCAACTTTTTTGACAACGCAGACAGCGTGCAAGTATACAGCATTTGATGGAAAAAGATACAAGACTGCTTCACAGTGTAACTATTTGCAATTATATTTTTTCTTTTAAGGAATTCCTACCTGTATCTAAACCTATCTCTGTAACCTGAGCTCATTCATGTAAAGCAATCAGCTTCTAGTCAAGAGAACTTTATTTCTCAGCTGCAAGGATGCAAAAGTAGCTATGAAACAGAACACAAAATGGTGGGAAAAGGGGCATATCTGACTCAAGCCACTAGAAAAGGAAAGGGTGGAGGCTGTACCTCAGAAAACCAAAGCAGGCAGTATTTGACACCATTAAAATGGACTACAGTAGTTAAAGGTAAACTGTGACAGTGACACAAGCAGAGCTCCTAGTAAGGCAGAAATAAAGGTCATGGCAAAGAGCCTGAAGAACATCGGTCGGTGTTCATCCACAGAAAATGTACAAAAGATCATGCAAAATACAGAAAACATTCTCACGTGTTGTCAAGCCACAGGCACAAGATACATTAAAATACACAAGGCAAAACCAAGTCAACTTAAAAGAAAAAACCCACACACATGACAAAAACTCTTCAAACTTCACAGCCACATTAGTTCCAAACTGTGGAGTTATTTTTATATGGAAAATAAACGTGTAAGTCCAGACACTACATTTGTAAGAACCTCAAACCAAAGCTAAGCCTCTAAGCTTTAAAAAGTTTAACCCAATAGAACTGGTAAAAGGACAGTGGCCTAAGTCTGCAGGGATGATGTAGCAGAATGTCAAGCACTAGTGAATATGGAGGAAGATGGAAGATGGAAGACGCAACCAAACGGACCCTCCTGACTCTGTTGCATGACCTGCAACTTGTGCAAGTTTCCTGCAGTTTACTGAACTACCAGCTCTGCTAAGGTAACAGTCTGTATTATCAACTTGTTACTTTTTTCAGGTGACTTATTTTTAAACATTAAAAAAAATATTACTTAAAGCAGTTAAACACAATTGACTGGAGTAAGATACGGAGCAAATTCAACTGTAGTTCAAGCCAACAGGACTGAAGGAGTGGTGGTGACCACCTGGAGAGGCAGGAAATTCTTTGGGAAGGGGAGAAATGGGATCCAACTGCAACTCAAGGGTTACTGACACTTAAGTCAGTAACTGGTAATCAGACAGTCAATACTGGTAATATGGCACAGATGTCAGTAAGAAATGAAAGAATGTCATTACAAAAATCTACTTCTATTGAGCCAGCACTGAGTATACATACAATTTCTTCACAGAGGTCAATGATGACTCTAATCTGTTGGGTTTTTTAAAATGCAAAAATAACAGCTACCTGGAAAACCTCCCCCTACTGTTAAAGAGTGCTTTGAAACCAGGAATCAAATATTCTGATCCTGGATGATGACTCCAAGAGATTGAGCACAAACTACTGAACTTGGTTGTGTGTTAAAATGGACAGACATATAAAAGCTCTATAGAAAATGTTACAGAATTGTATCCATAAAATTCACTGTTAAAACTGCAGATCACTTTTTTTTCTTCCTTTTAATTAGCATCTACTTAAAGCTCATGTCAGGAGCATGCCGAACATAGTTAAGGAAATCAAGGCTAAACAGAAGTTGCTTTACAGGGCAATATTATCATCCTTATATCAACAGGAGCAGCAGGACTTTTGCAAGGAGGCACAGAGCACTCCCTTCAGGGAACCCATTTCTTCCTGGCACAGGGAGCAGGACTGGAACCTGGGTTTCTCAAATCACAGAAACACACAATAAGTGGAGGGTGAGCACAGGAGCTTGCTTCTGAAGTGGTTAGTAGCATTCCTTGGAAGAAAATGCACATACATGTGTCTATCCACTTGGATCTCCTTCTGTTTAGGATGTGGAGATTCCAGTGTAATTATTGGCTTTGTGGTGTTCCAGCTAGCTGGGTAGGTGTTTAAAATTAGACAGGATTAATGACAATCCAATAGCACAAAGATCAGAAATTTGTGTACAATTTGTCACAGGGACCAGTACAAATGCTGTGGACGTTGTGAGAGAGAATAAAATATGAGAACACAGATCTCTTATCTTAGTTTTAGAATAAAAGGGATTTAGACCCTGGTAAGTTTTAAAGTAACATTTTCTGTCATAATACAAATTGCTGTTAGATAATTACAACATCCTGTTCAATTATTTAAGTAAGTTTCTTCTCTTCTTAAGACTTATGGGTGCATTAACATTGAAGTATATTGTTGGATAGAGTGTTTTACCGATTTACTCTTATTTTGTTATTGAACCTTAAAAACTTGAAAAAATGTAACTTGAGGCTTTAACATGCCAGTAAGCTTTCATAAGATCTTTCATACAGTCTCTCCTATGTTTCTCATGCTGTGTAAAGAGGGTGGGACACCACATACTTACAGCCTCTGTTTCTTTGCATGGACAGTCAATGTAAAACAGCTTATACAGGATTTTTACAAATTGAAATGACCTTGTTTGAAACAACCCCATTTGCACCCGGATTTATTCGAACGTCAGAGAGGGAGAAACCAAGTTCACAAATCATAGCAAAGGCTGAGCCCACAGGTCCAGTGTTTTGGCTGAGGACGGGCTGGTGCCTGAACTTGACACCAACCAGCTCTGGGAAGAAAGGACATGAGCACAAGCACACAAACACTTATGTGCCCCTCCCAGAACTCAAAGAAAGCTTACCAACGAGAAAGATAATGCACTCCCTTTGCCTAGTAGTTGAATTGCAGCTCTGGCTAGAATTTTCTCTCAAGAGACAACACTTAAAGAATGGAAAAAATCATAAAAACTATTCAAAATTATCCTGCTTTTCCTTATTTTTCTTTTCTTGTAAGCGTTACCCTGGAAACATCCAAGACACACTGTTTTTTAATTTCATGCTGTGTTTATGCATCTGTTAAATCATCAACAAAGCACAAAGAAAAAGTTACCAAGCATAAATGATTTCAAGTTTCCAGAATGTGTCTTGTAATTTGTCTAAAGCAGCCGAATTTTCAAATTATACATCTCTGAAAAAGATATCAATTTTCTTTCTAGGAGAGTGCTCTTTTAAGGTCCATGGGAGAAACTTTAAATTTTGAGGGTAAGAAGTAAGGGTCTAGTTAAAAAAAAACAACAACACCCAGAAGTCTTCCGAGGATGTGCTAAGCAAATCACATAGTTTGGCTCCAACATAAACATTTTAACTACTTCCACTCTACAGATTCATTTGATTTCATTTTTTAGTGGGATCTATAACCAGACAGACAATTCCTTATACATGTACCAAAGGTATACCTAAAGTATTGAATAGGCAAGCTGGTGATTTAACTAAAATATACTTTTAACTGGTAATCACTTTATTAATTTCTTCATTTGACTTTCATTTAACAACTATATTGCCTTGTACTTACATTAAAATAATAGCTTAACTGTGGTGTTATTTTTACTACATTTACTTTAATATTGTAATAATTCTAGTGAAATCCCTATTTTAGAAAAAAAGAACACTTAAATCAGCAAGCCAATTCAGAATACTCTATGCCTCTAACAGTTTCAGATAGTCCACTTGAAAATTTGCTATCCTTATCCATCTTCTGGGTTTCAGAGTGATCAGTTGTTTTTTCAGAGACAGTCACAGCTACAATATTATGTTGCTTTTATTAAATCATGTAGTTGACACACTGCAGCCATGCACTGATGCAATTCTCACTTACGCTGTCACTATCTGCAGTGCTTGTGTTTCTATTAAAGCTGCTTTCTTTACTTTAGGATAAAGCACTGGAAAACACCCTTCATTGTGAAGTGTACAATTAATACACACCATTTCAGTGAAGCAAAATTATCTACAGAACCTCAGAGCCTATGAGCTACCATTCTGGAAACAGTTATATCTTGGGTAATAAAGTCAACATATGTGTAAGGGCTACTATAAAACAGATACTGTACTAATATTATGTGTTATTAAAAGGTATTCTAACAGAATAGCTGTAACCTCCTTAGACAGTAAAGCAAAAATTCATCATTGTCAGTGGTGCCCTCATATCCAAGAAGTGTTCATTGATATATTCGTCTGTGTGCTGATGTCTCCATAGCCCTTTTTGGCAGAGAACCACTAATGGTTGAACTTTGATGAACTGGTGTGCTTACAGCTAACTTGGGGAACTGCAGAGCTGCAGGACGGGGCTTCCTACACAGTTCAGACTGGATTTCTATTTACTACTGCATTTCTATTTACTGCTGCATCCACATTCAAAATGCAGTGACTGGCACCCCAGGCTCAGATCTGCTGTTGGAAATGTACTCGTTAAATGTAATAACTACAGTACTTTACCCCTAATTTTACTGCAGCATGTGCAGTACGTCCAGTTTCAACTGTTCCAGAAAAGAGTCAGTCCAGATAAATCATCATTTCCTGAAAGTGTAGACAGTAACTGCGATAAACAAACCCACAATCCAATCAACATGTATGTGTGTGGCCTAGACCTCCAAAGTTTCATGTACATCTACATAGTAAACAGAGCAACCTACAAGGTCAGCAGCGGAAATTTCCAATTTGATTATCCTGGAAAACTACAAAAGTATTAACAGAATGGCCAAAGAATTTGTTTGATCTGAGTCTGAATGCTCAGGATGTGTCCTTGAAGCCCACAGCCTCTGAATGTGATCAGAAAAAGGACTGCCAATGCACAAAGAGAACATTGGATACTGCTTTTTGTCAACTTTCAATCCATCAAAACTAGTTAGGAAAGTCTAATTATAAAGTGTTTATCAGTGATGAGCCATAATGACATGTAACTTCACTGGCAGATCGTGCAGACTGTAGCCAAGCATTTATTCTGGAAGCAGAAAAGACCAGGTCAACCAATAGCCACTGACAGATACAGCAAAACCTTTTAAAGGTTAATTCTGATGTACTGTACTTTCAAATTAGTGAAATATTGAAGTAAAGAAGTGTATCTTTATCTGATTTCACTGAAGTCAACAACACATGACAAGTCACCTTACAGTCTGAGAGTTTAAATCTGCTGCTTACACAAAATCTGATCTTGAAATTCTTTTGATCTTAGGATTTAAGAATAGGGAGCATTCCTACTATTCTTGATGACTTAGTAGCAAAAAAAAAATCTGTTCTCACATTAGAAACATGACCTTGCACAGCTCTGGAGGCTCAAAGGAGGCTACCAAGCTTCTAGTCCTTAGGGCAGATGAGTAATCAGCACAATAGCTTCTTCAGACAGTTCACAACTGATGTTTTGTTTGTTTTAATAATTTCTTGAAAAAATGCTTAGATTCCCTTATAACTACCAGAGTCCACAGTTCTATTATCACAGTCAGGATGCTTTAGTAGGATTTAAAACATTTATTTTCTATATGAACCAGGAAAGGTGCTGTAATTACATCACTAAAACCTGTAATGCACCAAGAGTTGTATTACAAGAGTTCTTTATTGTCTCAATCCTAACTTTTCACATCCATAGGCAGAAGCATGCATTAAAAAAAACCCACAAACTTTTACGGGAAAACAATATTATCCTGGCTTTACAGGCGTTACATCAACTTGAACAAATCCAAATTATCATTTAGGGTGCTGTGGGGAGTAAAAAAACCCAAAACAACAACCCAACAAAAAACCACAGATATAGCAGGACTCAGACCCAGCATGAACTTCCTCCTGGCAGCTGCTGTTCACAGGCTGTGTTTGGCTGATGACCTAACACTTCATGTGACATGTGGGGACATAACCCACAGCTGTGGGAGGAAAACTGCAGAAGGACTAAGAGCTCACTCCTTCCAAGTACGAGTCACAGAACTGAGGCAGATACAACATCTTACAGATTTACTAAGATACTGAGACCATTTCTGAACCTGTTGTCAATCTATTTCACAATAATCACTCACTGAATTGCACCCACCCTCCGTCATTGCTGCAAAACCTCAAAGGCCCTCAGGAAACATTATCTGCAACTCCCTTGTAAAACAAAACACTCCTATATATGTGAAAAAAATTATTTATGTATACTTTTATTTTTTCCCATCTGTTTCTCCTCAGAAGTATACCATTTCCTAAAGATTGAACTATCTTTATTTATTCAGTCTGAAAATCATACATCTCTGCTTCTAAGAAAAATGGCATGAATAAAAATTTTAGAAGCAAAGGTGAAATTTTAGAAGCAAAGATTATGTGAAGTGGAACTGTTTCTAACTATCCAAACAAAAAAAACAAAGAATAAAATAAACTGAAGTGTTTCAAAATAATTCTTTTCAAAGCTTAAATGAATTCTGTTGCAAAAGCCGGAATTTGTCTCATTTATTATCTAGGAAAGAAAATGTATTCCAGTGTGCTGAATATCTAAACAGCAGAGGTGAGAAGGTCATTCAGCACACAAGTGAAACTTGAAGTAGCTTTTGTCTGCTGTAGGTCTACAAAAGCAGCAGTCAACTGGCCATTTACTCTGACTCTTGGTCAGACTTTACCCTTTCTGACCTCTAGTGCAAACTTAATCTGCAACAGTCCTGGAGCACAGAGCTGGCATACAAAGAGTCCCGTAAGTCCTGTTTGTGAAGCCTTTGGCAGAGTTTTGTTTATGACTTGATATTCCGTAGAATGTGTAAATCTAGTAAAAAAATTGTTGCAAAATATCATGTAAGAGTTATAAATACTAATCCTCAGTGGATCAGCTTTGCAGTTGCTTGCTCTGGATGCGTCATTCTCTGCCGTAACAGAAACTGTGATGGTTGACCATAGCACTGAGAACAAAATTCAAAGCAGCTCTGAGGTTCAAAGTAAAGGTTGTGCAGATATAGGCTCCTAAGTTCATGAGAGCAACCTATATGCAGCCTGCCCCCTTACTCTGTTGAAATCTGGCAAAAAGTTGTGAGTTTTGCTACTCTACATCTGTAACAGCGAAGCCATCCTGGTGGAGCCGGCTGTACAGGCACATGTCATTAACTGGACGCCATCTGGAATACAGAAACCCGACCTCCCTGTGTTTTAATGTCCCCACATGAACTTAATTGCTTAGCTGAGCAGTGACAACAGTTACCTGTATTTAAAAAAAAAAAAAAAAGAAACAACCAAACCCCCGTAGTGGTTGGAGCATCTGCCAAGGAAGGAAAAATGTTAAGTCCTAGGCCCTAAAGGAACATAAGCCTACAGATTCCACACTGCTGGCAACCACTAAGGCACCAGCCTCAGCAGGATTCTCAGAGCAGGAGCATCCACCAAGCCCTTCTCTTAAATGGGGCCACTAAATTGCCAGGTCACAGAGAAAGCAGATGAGGTCACCTGTCAGCATAGCTTAGAACTTAGGGCCCTCAGGATGGAACCAACACCCCACATCCTGCTGCTAAGGTCTACTTCTGTTTTACATTAGGCACTCACTGGATAAAAACAGAAAATCAGGGAACAGGGTAATTATGCTGAATTCTAAAGCCAAAAACTTCACTTTTACACAGTGCAGTACTGCAACTCTAAAACCTTGCTCTGATCTGTACTGAAGATCTCTCAGAATGCTTGGTACATCATCACATTACCTCAGCTCCACTGAAACATTTTAGAACTAAACTTTAGAAAGGTGGCTAAAATATTTTGAGAAAATGAGACTGCCCACAGAATTTCATTTCTACTGACAGATAAGTAAAGAAGGTGAAAGTTCATCGGTGAAGTTCAGCCTGCCTTAAGGTTTCTAAGAATCACGATGCTTTGATAATAATTTTGTCAAGTATTCTATGAAAAAAGATACTAAGATGTAGTAAAAGAAAGGAAGAGCTGGAAATGAAACCATTTTACTCATAGATGCCATCTTTTCAACTTTGAAAAGCCTTTTTAAGTATATTTGAGGCTTGTATGTTTTTTAACTGCTAATGTTAAATCATAAATCATTAATATTTGAGATTTTTTTACCTGAAGAGTCTTGCTATTTTTTTTAATCTCCAAAATTATTACTTTTTAAAAAAGACACCAATGGCAAAAGAAGTTTTATCTAATTGCATATGGGGTTCTACTTCAACTTTGTGTTCTTTTATTCATTCCTTAGCTTTTCACTTTTATAAGCATGATATATACTTGTCTTACTTAGATATGTGAGAAAATACACACGTATACAGTTATCTATACATATGCTGGAAGGTAAAGAAATGTTCTTTATACACTTCCTGGAATTTTGATAATATTTAACACTTACCAACACCATATGTATAGAAATAAGGAGCAGCAAAAACCACTCCACAACTGAAATAGTTAAAAAACCATAAAATAATTTTGTCGATAAAGTTACTCGTACCTGGTGTGGATGGTCTCTCCAGCATATTCAAATGATGGTAAATAAAGGCTTGGCTGTCATGAACTGTGTCCATATCAATTTCCTCCTCCTCTTGAGAGTTTGAGAACTAAGATACCAGGAAAAAAAATAAGCAGATGCTAATAACTCATAAAAACATCACTAAATAGAACTTAAAATATTTAATTTTTGAGGTAAACTGGGGGTGAGAGGGAAAGGAAGTGATATCTACCACTGCAAAGGAATAATAATTCAATAAAGGTAAAAAGGGTCAGTGAGTTTTCTTCTTTCTAATTTACTGTGAAGCTGTGTGAACAAGAGCATTATCTGTCAACTTTAGTTCTATCCAGCCAATAAAGAATCTGATAGGAAATGATTTTGCCAAAGTAAGCGTAACAGCTGCTGTACACACATACACAGCATGTCTTTTGTTTGAACACAGCTTCAAGGGAAGTCAGCAGACGCCACTGCTGTTATTCTGAACACCCTACATATTGTGCAAGTTGAATTTCCATTTCTTACTCTGATTTTGAGTTTGACTTTACTGTCTTCATTCTTCTCTAGTATTTGCCCTGGCTCCAATGGAGACCCGAGTGGCATATCAGCCTTCCTCTTCACCCCCTGCTGATGACCAGAAATGCTGGATGCTGTTTCCTTAATAAGATGATCATCCTCCTGAAGCAGCATTAAAAGACCAAAATTAGAAGATAGCAAGATCCATGTTTCAGAGAAAGAGACCTGATAGCTGAAAAATCTTCTGAGTAAAATGGGTGATTTGAACAAAGTTTTCCCTGTAGTACTGGCAAAAAGTATTTTCTAAAACCCTGTATGGATTTGTGCCAAGCACTCCTACAAACTAGTTTCTCTTTACTTCTATCCCTGCTCCCTCTGCATATCTAGCATTGGCATCTTTTCTGTTGCTTCTCACAATCATGGTACTGTTGGTGTGCAACAACATTTGCTGCCTCTGAATAGCCTTTCTATAAATCTGTGCCTCGTGGACTCTCCTTACGCCAAATCTCAGTTGAAAAACTATGACAGCCTCTGATCTACTCATGGGATTTAGCTAAATCTTCTTTTAGTTAGTTATAAAAGCTAACTCTTACTTTACTGAGTACAAATCATAATGTGTACTTATAGTTTTTTTTTTTATTTTACAACAATATTTATTAAAAAGAATTATTTTGTAATTACTGCTTAGATTATAAAAAATATCAAGGTAAAAAAATAGAAAAATAGAAGAGCCTACTAAGTTATAGATATAGTCATGGAAACAGGAGACAGGTATTCCAACAAGTCCAATACACAAAATACAGAAGGGAAAATAAAGTATCCACAGAAGTGAACATATTAAAAGCTCACTACAACCTAGATAAAAGGCATATATATCACAGACTCTCAAGAGCATATGCTCCTCCACTGAACTGCTCTTCCTCTATCCTACAAAGGGCACTCTAGGCCCACAAACCCTTGCCCTGAACAACTCAAATTCTATTTTATGGAGCAGGTAACTTTTACCACTCTCAGCAAATTCAGCATCACAAGGCTATCAATACTGACTTTAACACATTTATGCTCTCAGATTACGTCTAAAGAATCTAGTTAAGCTGATAAATTCTATCACCTATTTATTCTTTTTTTCCCCCTCAAATACATATTTCCTTCTTTTCTTTGCTATTATTTAGGCCAATACACTGCTATGGTGAAACATTTTGGACAAACTTTGTCTGCTATGAGAGGAAGTCTTTGTTTGTGATTTTCGTTTTAACAAGGAAAATCAGTTCCCTGAATTTTGGGGCTGTTACAGTGGGAACAGTAAACTTAAAGTAAGGGGTAGGGGAATGGAGGTGAGGCACAGGAGAAGATACGAGGGATGAAGTGTAAATTGAGGCTCATACTAGAGTTATATTTTACACTAGTCCAAGCCAGTACTGCTGCTAAAAGAAACAGCCTCTTCCTCACATGGTTTTGTCCTGGGGTGCCACAAGCACTTTTATAACTACGTGATGAACCAGACCAGGAACCTGAAATATCTGTTCATAAAAAGGTACTGCTCAACCAGATCCTCCCCTGATCCAGCTCACTATGCAGCAACAGCTACTATGCCAGCACAAAGGAGAGAACAGTATAGGAAAAGAAGAGTTAAGAGGAAATCCTTTGATAGTCTGGCTCCAAAAAAAGTTTGGGTGTTCACTGAACTGCAGTCTAAAAATCTGCCAACAAAATGCCTCCTGCTATTTAATTCTAAAGATTATGCATAGCAAATTAGGACTTACTCTGTGTTCTGTAAATATGCAGGAGAGCTCTAATGATATCTGACTCTACCAGCATTTTCTCCCCCTGCTGGAAAGGGCCTGCAGGGTGCTGTTAATTAGTACTCTCAGTATACTTTTCAATAAAAACTATTTAGACATTAACTATGGGACTGATAAAGTAACAGTAAACTATCCCATTCAAAGGAATGGAAAGAGTTCCAGACATGCTAATCACATGTTCACATTCTCTTTCAGGATCTATCCCTGAACAGTTTCAATCAAATGCAATTTTTGAAACTGTTAAGAAAAATCACTCATTATTTCCATGTCTGTTGATTTTTTTCCCCTCATAATTAAATATGTCCAACAACAATACTCCATCTTGCAGCACTGGCAGTTATTCTTAAGGAAAGAATGAACTTAATTGCTTATAAAATCTATTTTGCAACTGCACAATGTATTATGTGTTAGGACTGAATACTCCAGATCCAGAAAGATATCAAGTTGAATGTATGCCATGTTTCAGAAATTGTTACAAGTCCTTCAGAGCACAGTACTGAGCAGTCAGATTCAAATGCGTTCAATTTATTAAAGTTCCAACTTTCACATCTCTTAAAGTTGCTTAAAAACCAGTTTATCTATGTATTTTAAGATGTAATAAATTTACTGATAAATGGTTTTGTTTTGGAAAATTGCATAACTTGCCTATAATAAATATTCCTGGTCTAATAAAAAAAGTTTTCATTACAGCATCAAACATTTCTGTGAAGCACTTCATGTCTCATAAGCAATACACAAAAAGTAAAGTCTTGTAAAGAACAGAAATGATGAAACTAGAAAAAAAATCAAGTAAAAAGCTTGTATATGCTATGCAAAAAAGTTTTAAAATGTGAAAAAAGATGGTATATGCCAGCTTTTCAAGTGGATAGAATAAATATAAAAAGATATAAGATAAAAAGGCAGCTTAGGTAAAGCATGAGAAGCTTGAACACAGTACAAAATTAAATCAGCAACCAAAGCAAGGACTTGGAGGCAGCTGATGGGAAGTGGTGGTTTGTGCTTACGGTGTTCTGAAATCCTACTGACTGTCCATGATTGTTAGTACTATTCACAGGTTCCTGATTATTTGCAACTGATTCAGGGATAATCGTTGGATTAAGTACAGCCTTCTTTTCCTTCAGATTAAGAACAAGCCCAAGCTCTGGTAACGGTAAACAAGAAGGTCTGCTGAGGCCAAAAAGTGTGAAATAGAGGTCCACAGCACCACATCGTAATCTCCAGTCATGTGAAGTTCCTAAAATCCCAAAGAGATTGTTGTTAATACAGAGATACAATCTTCTGCTTTTCCATAAATAAAACAGTTTAAGTGATCTGGGGCTACCAAAGCATGACATTTTCTGTGCTTAAGATACACTTCATTATTCCTGCTTCTTGGCTCTAACTCACCTGCCACATCCTGTTTAAAAGGAAGGCTTTAAGTTGCTTGGGTTATAAGTCAGACATGTTTAGTAGAACAAGTCTGGGAAGTGCTATAATAACATAATGAAAAATAAAAGAAAAATAACTACACCCATAAGAATTTATTTTTCAAGTTGTGCCTTAAGTTTTTCTATTGGACAATTAAATAGACCATTTTATTACCACACTGGCTTCTTGTATCAATGGATTTGGTTGCATTTGCTTATGTATTCCATGAAATACAGCAGAAACTGTAAGCATGGCTGAGATCTACACCCTCTGGAAACTGCAATGACAGAGAAATGCAGAAGCACGTTTTTTGATATCACTACCATGTCATGTACTTCACTGGATACCCAGTATTTTAATTTTTATTTATACTGGAGACATGTATTCTTACTGCACAAAGCAATGCTTTGGGGTTTTTTTATTATTTTCCACTGCAAACTGTGTACTGCTTTTATATCATCATACACAGATAGTCAAAGCACGTTTGGCACCAATCACAACAGAAGGACATGTAACATCTGGTGCAACGCTGCAAATACAGTGATTCTGGTGTTAACTCAGCCCAGTCTTAAGTGATTGCAAGTTTATTGAACATATTGTTCCCCAGGAGGAATTGAGCTATATCTGGTAAACAAGACACAGATGTGCCAACTGCCATGTTAATGTGGCTGTGTAAGACTTAGCACAAAATAAAATTACAAGATCTATCCCTGTAAATAGTAGTTTTATGAGGCTAAACTGTGTTGAGTAAGCTTAGCTTATCCTTACCAGTTACAAATTACCAGTTATACTTACTCAGTTACAAATGAGAGTAATTTGAATATTAATCTGGACATTTATAACACTGAAATACTCCCAGAGAATGACGCATTCACAAATATTAATTTAAAAACTACTGTCATACCTTAACAACAAATAATTTGCTTAGTTTCTTTACTACATTTAAAATGACATGATGAATCTCTTTCCTTCTCCAGTGGAACAGCTAAGCTTAAATAGAAATGGTCAATGAATTTCTTTGCAATCTTTGGCACTTGTAAGCAGTATCAATTTAATGCAGATTAACATAGAAAAAAAGAAAAGATTACATATATCAACCAGAGCCTTCTTTCTATTGCATGTGTTTATGTTAAATAAAAACAACTCAGGCTTCTAGAATCATGTAGCTTGAAACCTGGCTACTAACTTGTCACAGATTAACAAGTGTTTTTTTTTTTCAAGGCACCCTGGAATGCTACAGTTATCCCTTACATAAAATAAATTGAAACATTACATCATCTTGAGGTACAGAAATTGAAGTGTTTAAAGCCCCATGAATTCATACTAAGAAAGTATACCCTATTTGTTACTTGCAAAAAGAGGTAATGGCTGTAACACTGCACACACTCTTCTCTCACGAAAAAGCAAAAACAAACTCTCTGATGGGAACATCAAAATTGTTTATTTTCTGTGCCTGACACTTGGCAAATCCTATGAAACTGAACTGCTAGTAGTCTCCCCACTTCACTCTCCCTGGAGTGTAGCTGTAAACTTTTAAACACTAAAAATAATGACACACAGAAAACAGAAAGCCTTCAAGGACATAAAAAAAGCTATATAAATGTTTATATGTAATCTATGTAGTAATGTGCCAGATGTTAAAGGTCAATTTGTCAGGACTGGATAGAACTGCTTCAGTAACAAAAAACACGTCAATGGTAAAGATGCAAGCCTTTCTCTCATTAAGATGTTTCCTAATTATACAAGGCAAATTGAGTCTTAGTTTATAGTGCACTTCTAAAAATCTCATTTAAATTAGCTATACCAATGCTATCCTCTCGTGTTCTCTAAGAGTTTAGTAAAAGAGGACAAAGAAAGACCATCTAATCTAAAGCAAACTACATAGAAAAAGGTAACACAGACACCATTATTTCAGGACACATTTGCTTTGAACATCTGATTAAAAGAATCATTCTGTGCAGGAGTACATCCAAGCACACTGCATCAGCAGACAAAAGAATGAAAAACAAGGTTTAGTACCCTGTGTCAATAAGAATGTTCTGGAAGTACATACGTGATATTTAACCTCTGAGACTAAATTTTCACTTTCTAACTACTGAAACTAAGAGAGCTCTTGCCATATTCTGAAGCATGTCTTTAACACTTATTCCAAAAGACCTTACCACAAAAATCCAAAACAACAAAACAACCAAAAAACCCCAACCTGAATTCATCAGTTTCCAAAGTTGATCTACCAAAGCTTCATTACATAAAGGGGACTCCATGTTCTTGGTAAAAGGTGGATTCTTAGTCAGCATATCCAAAATCTTATGCCTTAAAGAAATAGAAAAAACCAATTTCTATTAAAACCAAAAGAAATACATTAAGAATACCAAGTCTATTCAGTTTGAAATATTCTCACAAACTTATTCAACTACAGGATTTCTTCCAAATTTTTAATCAATGTTTTATGCATTTAGCTCTTCCTTCTGTCCACAATATGCACTGACACAGATTTACCATCAGCAATATAACTTAAAAATAAAAGTAAGGTGCAAAGCAGCAGGATGTTATTAGACACAACTGTTAACTGTTGTAGGCTACATTATGCTCTTCTGTTTAGTAATGATCTTTTCTTGCACACTGACTTGGTAATTACAAAGAAGAGGCAACACCGGTAAATAAACTCCTTACATACTGGCACCAAAGAATTTTTAAATAACTTTAAATGTTTATGACTGATGCAAAATGGCAGGACCAAAACCAGTGAGTTGAACATTTTCCTGGAAAGAAACACTGCCACCTCTCAAGTTACACTGGTGTATAAAGGTTCTTCACTTACCATGTTTGCTTACAATATTTACACACTGTGCTGAAAGTAGATACATTTTTCTCCACTTTCTTTCTTCAAAATTTGGCCTTGAAAACATTTAACAAATAATTCTTTGTTCCATTACTTATTATTTTAATGATTTTTCTCTGCACAGCCAGCTTTCCCCCTGCTGTCTTGCACATTTGAAACAAGAAGACCCTTGCAGATATTTTTTTTCCATTTTCTATTAGAAGAGGCTAATATATTGCACTCAACTGAAAATTTAAACTCTTCTTTAAAAGGATACAAATTAAATTCAGTCTCCTTCCTAGACTGAAGCTAAACTTCCTCTAGTGAGTCTAACTGTATTCACTTTCATTAACAAGAATGACAGAAATAAAACAATCTTGCAGCTATGATCTTTGTAAGAAATCGCCTATAGAGACAGAGCAAAAGTAATATTATTTATCTTTGAAACTCAGTACTTTAATGGTGGTCATAAGAAAGTGTTGGGGAACAACAGTTATTACGAACCTTGGTGTTCACAGGTTTATAACAAACATGTTAAAACATTCAATCACTTGTGTGAAAACGAAGTTAAAACAGCCAATATTAGAATTACACCATATTTTCACATGATCCTTTCACCCCATCTACAGTCTAACAATTGCTTTACACCCCTTGCTGTCCAAATATTGTGTGCACTATGTCTCAACCTCTGTCCTTTCTAAATATCACAAAGTCTTTTTTGCCATATGCAACATCTTTATGATGATGAAATAACATCTAAATTCAGACTTCTGCCTTCAGGATAGTACATAAAAGACAACAATAATATAATGCAGAGTAAGAATAGAGTATACTAATTTTTGAGATAGGAACTGTTGAAACATCAAAACGCATTTCAATTAACATAAAACAACAAGAAGAAAAAATAGTGTTTTGGAGAAGTCTTAAGTTAAGCATCTGATCTATTCTAGTGATTCCAGGCCAAGAATTTATTTAGTAGTTTCAGCATTAGTAAAAATACTGGCTCTTTATTAACTCACTAACCTTATGTAGGGTACAGGATCATTCTGAACCATAGTAAGCAGCCACTGTAATTCTTCATAGCTCCTATCAACTGCAAAGAAAAATAAAATAAAATGCCTATAAATATATATATAAACTAGAAGGATTTTGATAAGACAATCATGAGTTCCTAAGTTAGCACACAAACAGTTTGAATCACTGCAACTAAAGAGGAATTTCATTTATTATAGTGCAAATTCAAAGTAAGAAGTGGTTTAGTCTACACTGAAATAGAAACATTTATGAAATTCCTATGTGCCTAAATTGTTCAATAGCAACCAAGCTGACTATTTGCATAAGCATTGATTGGGAAAATCAGAGTAAAGGATCATCTTGACATTATGTGCTTCCTAAAAGGAGCACATTCAAATATCCTTTGAACAATCAGAAGTATAATTTTTCTGTAGGGAATAAGGAATATACAATTCACACACAAAGAAATCTGTGAAAGATTATTATCTTTAAATAGGATAGAAAGAGGTATACTACAGGGCATGAACAGAACTACAATCATACTCTCTTTACCAGCCTAGTTTTTTAAATCAGTATACCTTGCAACTAAAATGGATTTTGAAACCTATCAGCACATGCTTCTAGAAAATTGCTGCTTGACACCGTTGGAAACAAAGTCAGCCTGTTAGTTTAAAATGTAAGTTACATCACAAAATTCCTTTGATTATCGGAGTAACATTGCAAAATAGGAAATAACATGGGATATCATCACTGATCACACAAAACAATGAAAGAATATCTTTTTCTCAGGTGCATAACTGTAAGATTTTTACAATAGTATTCTCTTCTCATGTCTTCAAAACAATAAAGAGGGTGTATTAATCATTACTGTATAGGTAGGTCCAAGAACATTTCTGTTGCTTTCCATTTTGTGGTCCTAACAATGTATTTCTTTCTTCCCCTAGTCTACTGTATTTTTAATTCTAAATATCTCAGTTCAACTTTCCACCCTGATTTCAGTCAGTTTTCAGCCAATGATTTTTAAATGTAACTTCTTTGGTCCAACCAATTCTAATACCTATTATTTTTTTGTTAATTCACTAGGTTAAGTTGCTTTTAACACAAGAAGCATTTATTTATAACATAAGAATCAGCACTTTAGTTCTATTACAAGTTTTAAAAATACTTTGGACAACTAGAACATAAGATCTCTTTCTGGGCTGGGAGAAGGCACCTCCACTGTAATATTGCTCAGAAGCTGGCTGAAGTGTCTTGTGCAGGCCGTTTGCAAGTCAGCACCGCTCTTCCTACAGTCCAACCCAAACAAAACCGGTTACACTGGTGAGGCACCCATAAGCCCTGTTTAGAGGCAGGAAGTATTAGCTCACACCATGCACCATTTAGAGCATGGCTACACAGTTTTGGATGATGCCAGGGCAAATTTGTAGCCATACAGACCAGAACTCAGATTTGCCTTAAACCTCAGGAGACATCTCTGAAAAGCTATGTCTAGAAGGCATTTTAAGGGATTACTGACTGCCTGTACTCAGCTCCAGGCACAGCTGCTTTTCCTGGCTTGGGACAGAAGGCAGCTAGAACACTGCATGCAAAAGTTGTTTTGCATGTAACAAAAACAATATTGTATTACTACACAGCAAAGAATTGCAACATGGCAAACACTCGGTCACAATCATTAGCAAATCACAATTCCTTTGACTGATAACATAATGTTTCATTGATTAGAAAATAGGAAGTCTGGGAGATGTATCCTTTAGGCTTAGAGTACTGGATTACAAAACCAGGAGGCACCATACTTTTGTGATTAAAGAATAAAATACCTTCTTTTGCATTTTAAACTTGTTTCTACTTGAAATAAAGTAAGTCTTCCCTGCTATTTGCCTTACAGCGTAAACTAAGGTTGCTAGGCTTCCAAAGCTTTGCTACTAATGCATTTAACCTGTTCTTCAAATTTATACAAGAACTATGAAACAATTCGGAGAGCAATGACAAATTAAACCTGACCTTGGGCAGAAAAAAATCTTATTAGCCTGGAGAGCCATACACCAGCCTGCTTTGGAAGAGACCTCAGAAGATCATCTGTTCAAACCTTTCATGGGACAGGGAGCCTGATTATCCAGCACTCTGTCCAAGTGCATCTTGAAAACCTCCAGTGATGGGGACTTCACCACATCCCAGGGGAGGTTGTGCCCCTGACTGTTGTCACTGTAAAAAATTTTTTTTCTTACATCAAGATGAAACCTCTCTTGGTGCAACTTGTACTTGTTAATCCTTCTCCTTTTCCACGTGGAGGAGAGAGAGATACTCCACCCACTTCGTAGCTGCCCTTTAAGTACTGCAGTATTGTGATGAAGTCCCCTGAGCCTTCTCCAGGAAGAAAAAGACCTAATTCCTTCAGTCTTTCCTCACAGAGCAGGTTCTCCAGCCCTGTGATCCACCTTCATGGCCCCTCTATGGACAGTCCCCAGCTCGTTCACATCTTTCTTGAAGTGTGGGGGACACAACTATACACACTACCCAAGTACAGACTGAGTACTAGAGGGGGATGTTCACATCTCTGTCTCTGCTAGTACTGCCCCTGCAGATGCAGCCCAGGGTCTGCTCTGCTGCAGCAGCACACTGCTGACTCGGGGTCAGCTTGTTGTCCAGCAGGACCCCCAGGTCCCTTTCAGCGATGCTGCTCCCCAGGCACACAGATCATGGCCTGTTCTGGGCTCTTTGCTATGTTGTCTCAGGTGCAGGACCCTGCACTTTTTAAACTCCACACAGTTCTCGCTCGCCTGCTCTTCCAGCCTGTCCATGTCTCTCCCTTCTCACATGTCCTCTTCATCTCCCACTTTGGTGTCAACAACAAAAACTCAGTGAAGCTGCTTTGAATGTTGCTGTCCATGTAATTTCTGAAGATGTTCCCTGAGGCACTTGTGACAGGCTGCCAGCCTCAGTAAAAACCACTGATCACCATTCTCTGAGTGTGGCCCAAAACCTGATTTCCTCCCCATGGCACTGACCACCCATCTTGTCTGTAGCTTGGCAGTCTGTCTAGGAGAAGACTGTGGGAAAAGAAAGATGTGTAGGTTTTCACACTTCTGGTGGACGTAGAAACAAGGGATTGCTTTTTGCAATAAAAATCCTCTTGAGATTTTCTTTTTTTAATTACAAGAGATGGTGTATCAGTTCTCAATTACAGCAGAGCATCTCTGAGATGTTAAACTTTAACGTTCATGAGATTTGATAATGGATATTTATTTAGAATAGTTTTTTGTTATCTCTTTTAAACATGCAACTGCTTTGTTCTATACAAATAACTGCTATTAGTCATATAACTCTCAGAAGCTAACTTAAAAAAGTTAATAAACCCTGTTCACTTCAAGCCAGTTTAGATCAATTGTCCAAGCCCTTATATGCTGCCTCAAGCATTTTACAAAGTTACCATGTCTCAAAAAAACCTCACTATTAACAGCAAAGAAAACAACTTATTCACTTCCATGGCGAAATTATTTCTTTTCAAGTAACTTAAAAAAGGCACTGCTATTCCTGCCCTGAGAGTTCCACCCAGAAAACACAGACTTTCCTTTTTGTGGAAATTACAAAATCTGTCATCTTCCTTTACTAGAACTGTTAAAAGCAAGCTTTGGCACAAGCAACAGGCATTTGATAACTGCGGGTTTGCATCCATGAAGTGGAAACCAGGTAGCTGGGAACAATGAGACTCAGATCTCTTGGCAATAGATGGCCAACCATTTCTCCCTCCAAAGTCAGGTTTAGGGCTCTGCGAGACAAGCACTGCTAACTCCTCTATGGTTACTGTGTTCAGTGCTGGAAGATTGTATTTGAGAAATGACAGTGATGACCAGCTAGACAGCAGGCTCTGTGGTGAACTGTAGTGACTTCATAGCAGATAGATATTTGCATCTGCTACCTCTGCATCAGAGAAAAGGCTGCTGGCAAGGAGCAGGGCAGTTAGGTACAGAAGTATTCTGGTCTATCATTTTCAGCTCTCACAGTGAGCTCAGTTCTGCTCTACCACTGATTTCTTCAAGTAATCTTTCTACTACTTTTTACCATTCAAGTTTTAGCTTTCTGTAGGGTATTTCAAACATCTTACCCTATTATCTTGCTTATACACCACCCCATTTGATCAGCTGTTTTAAAGATGTATTACTTTGTAGTACACTTCTTACCCAAGCCAGTTATTAAATATAAATATGATCCATAAAAGGTCAAGATTTTAATGGGAAAACATTATTTCTATCAGTTCGTCTTTCCAAAGGGTGGGATGAATTACTGAGGAGACTATTCTAAAGCAAGAAAGATGATGAGTAAGCTTTCCATTCTCCAGCAATCTTTCCACTAACACTATATTAAGGGAAGAATAAAGCAAGCAGTCTAACAGAGAGATGCAAAACACCAGCACAGTTCTGAATTCTAGCTGTGTATCACTCACAGGGTCACCAAATGGTCTATTATGCAGTGGGTTATGGATACAGAATGCCTGGATACCATTGGATCTGTCTTGTAATCTGTCTTGATTACAGGACAGAGCCTGGGAGCAATGCTCAGTGCAGACCCTCCCTTAAGTTACCAGCTTTTCTGTATGACAGCCTGGTTTCAGTCTCTAAGTGTACTCCTGAATTCCACCAGATGTGTTCACTCAAAGACTTCAATTGCCTTAAAACCTCCCACTGCCTATCTAGCTTGAGAAGTCTTTGGATAGAATGACAGGAGTAATTTCAAAGTATTACAGTCCTTAAAAAAAAGAAGAAAACAATTATTCATGCAACCCTAGCAAAGGTAACTCTCCATTACTCAGAAGACAAAATAAAACCATGAAATCTGACACAGATTAATTAGAAATCTGAATTCACCAGTCTGCTCTCAGAGGAAGAAGTGAAAGATTTGACCACTTTGATAGGGCTAAACCTTTTAACACAAGAAGTGTTACAAATCTGCTGAACAAAGACTAACCCCAAAGAAATGGAAAGGACAATATAATACTAAATTAACTTTATGAAATGCAAATAATAAAAAATCTGTCAGGATTGGGTTTCAACTTCAACAAGCATGTAAGAAACTACCCAGGGTTTTGTTTCATGGACTTGCAGCAGTCAACCAAGATAAAGGCAATATTAAAAGAATGTAAACATCTCACAAACATAAGCTATGTATAAGGAATGGCAAAGCAGAATCAGCCAGAAAATCACTATAATAATCTCAGTTTCTAAAATTTATAACCAAAAGATGCACGCAGAAAGCAAAATAATGATATTAGGAAGAAGGTAAAGCAAAACCAAGAACTTTGACGAGTCATTATGGCTGAAATCAATTGAATCAAAGTCACTGAAAATGAAGTTTTAAAAAGAAATTACCAAATCCCCTTACCAGGACCCATTGTGCCATCCACTCATTATTTCAAAACTTAGGTATCTGATTCAATTTGCAAAACACTAAAAAGCAATGCTCAGCACATTTTCATAAAACTTGTATTTGCTAGGACAAAGCATTAACAGAAATCTCAGCTTCTTATCAATATACCTGACATCACACAAGCTCTTCTGAAGGACATTATTTAAACATGATATTCATGAGGTAAGCATTACATTTGTCGAGAATTGTTACAAAGTGCCAAAATACTCGGAAGAAAGTACCTTTTGTGTAATCAACAACAGCCTCCAGTGCTGCTATTCGGACATCGACGAAGTGCCCGTATTCTGCATACGACTTGAAGAGAGCAGGGTCACTTGGGACGTGACCGTTCTTCTGAAGCACTCGGATAGCTTTTAAACAGCTAGATGTGGTAAAAACACAAAATGTACAACAGGTTTATGGAACACCAGCCCAGAAAAATAAAACTACTTTCTCAACATCGAGTACTGCAATTTTTCCAGAATTATGTTATCCATGTTCACATGTTACATGTTACAACATGAACACACAGCTCTTATTACCTCACACAAACAAAATTCTTTACCATGTCAAATTCATTGTTTAGTTTCAGTAGAGCTGCACTAACTCAGAGAAAACACAGCTCAGATGATGTTGTGTTCTCTACAGTTTTTGTAAAGGCTACACTTTACAAAACTTTCATAAATGCTCTTCTTAAAGAGGCCTAGGTATGATCAACTTGTGACTGCTATTAAAAGGCTACACTGACAGAAATGAATGTTGAAAAGTAAAGCAATTGAGACAAATCTGCACTATCAGCTTTTGAAAACTGGAAAGAATTTGACATTTAAAATTAGGACATACAAGCTAAAATCTCAAAAGCTAATTACAGAAGGGTACATAAACCCCAAGAAAATCAGCATCACTAAACCATACCTGACTGTAATGGTATGCCTGTAACTGGGAAGAAGCTTCTCCATATTTAGGAAACGGGTAATTTCCTCAAGAATAAGTCGTACATCAGGATTTAAGTTATCCAACGTTCGAACTTCGTTGTTCACACTGACTGCAGGAGTCACAGAGTTGGCTAGGGCATCAATGAGCTCGGCACGGTAGTAGTTGTCTGAAAACTAGACAAAAACAACACAACACATGCAAATATAACAATATATATTCTTTCAAAGCTAAGAGATGCTTAAGCCCTCTCCTAGAACAAGATCTTAAAACAAAACCCGTGTGAGAAACTGCATAAGAAAGCAAAACAGGAATGAAATCGTTCTGAAAATGGATTTGAGAGTGATTGAGCAAGCAGACATACTAGTAATCTTTAATCTTCACTCTGCAATAAAAGCATATTAATGTTAATACATTGTTTTATAAAAGTGGTAAGATCAGGCATTGAAAATCTTCCACATATGAAGCCATTCTTTGAAATGTGAGCATCTAAACCTACCTGTCTATTTCTGTATTTAGTACAAAGGTTAGTGGGTGCTTAGCACCTCAGAAAATCATACAGTTTATCCAGCCTGCAAATTCATAAGATTCTGAAGTGAACTAATGAGCTCGCTGCTGCTTAGCTAGGAAAATCTTGCTTCTTCATTTACCCCTCTTACCTGGGCTCATAGTTTGACCCTTTCCATTATGCTGGCTTTTGCATCTGTTGGTTGTGTTAGTAAGCAGCAAAAAGTGCAAAAATAAAATTTATAAAAAGCAGAAAGAAGTACTGGATTTGAATATTAGCTACTTCATTCTAAACAAACCCAACATCTGCAGATCCAGTAGATGTCAAACACATGTGGAAGGTACTGGTTGAAAAGTAGGGCCCAATCACTCCTTTAATGGTGGAGAGATGTCAGCACAACTCACCCCTTTCTGTGACTACCGGTGCTTGCGTTCATGTGTCTAACTCTGCCTCTCCACCCTCCATCATCCTCTTATTTCAGTAATAAGCAACAAGTGTTTAGTTATAGCATGTGTTTCTACACACAAGAAAAAGTGAGGCATCGAACACATCAGATTAGTTCCACTCAAATTTGGATACGTCATTGGGAAGATTATGCTAGATGGTTGATTATCCTAATGGTTCTACAATTCCACTAGCTAGGGAGATGGAATTTTTTATCATCTCAGGATATTAGAGGTCATATAATCATCCTTCAGAAGTGGTCTGTGAGGAGGAACTTTGGATGATAACATTTCAAACTCAGATGCTTCAGTGTAGCGATGGAACAGTATTAACCCAGGTTTCACCTGTGACTTAACTAGACGAAAAAAATCCAGTTCTGTGAGCTAGAGCTGACATTCAGAACTCAGAATCCCACAGTCTTGTATATTGTTAAAAAAAGATTTCCTTTCCTTGCTCTTTCAAATACTCCTCTCTAGGTGAAAAAAAAAACAACTAGTGCTACGTGTTCGTCTCATGCACATCTTCTCAAAACACATGAGTCTTTTGAATGAAAAACAGTAAAGCAAGAAAAGTATGTGTGGAAATGAAGACAGGCAAGTCCTTAGAAAGTCAACAAGCACAAAGAGCTTTGAAACATCCAAAAAATGCCTCCATAGAAATGTCAGCTAGAGAACATTCTGTAACATTTACTGTTTAGTTTAGCGTATCACCTTTCCATCAACTCTCCTAACCACATATTTTATGTTGTGCCATAAAACATCATGCAGTTCATTAACTAAGACTTTTTCAACAACAGCAAAAAAAAGTAACAGATTAAAATAAACACATTCTTTACCTTATTCTTCCTGTTATCATTATACTTGATCAAATCCAAAATAAACATTAAAACCTCCTTAGGACAGAGATTGTGAACATCCCTCAGAAGGGCCATGGCAACAGGCATAGTCTGTGTAATGAAATTAATAATAGCATTATTCTTACATTAGTGAAATGACAGTTACACCCTGAAAATCAGCGATTAACAAATTAACAAACGCAAATCTCTGAAAAGTTGTACTTAAATAACTTTTGAAAGACTTACCACACGCTATCTAATTTTCAGATCAAATAAAGTATGCAGTTATTTCTCAATAATTAGTCGCAAAAAGAAAAATGTATATCCAAGTACAGACTGTCAAGTCAAAACACCATTAAAAAGGTAATGAAAACCAATGAAAGACAGAAAACGATGATGGAATTAACTCTGAGACAGACACTGAATTTGGGTGCTTTCATATGAACATGACATCTAAGCTTCCAGTACCATTGAGATGTAGAGAACCAACAGGGTCAGTGAAGCCTCAAGAATTATTACCCAGATGGGTATTACTCTGATCAGGTATTTATTTTAAAATGAGCTAAGCAGATCTCTAGGATCCACTCAACATAGATTTAGGAATCTTACTCTAGATTTACAAATTTGGGACATGGGATTAAAAAGGGACAAGAGTGTAAGATTTAGTGGTAAAGAATGAGCAGTGACAAAAAGAAAAATGCAAGAGAAGGTCCAGGAAAGAGATGTGAGAAGGGTAAAACAGTTTTGGACAGAGTCAAAAAATAAAATTTGAGTTTTCTGTATAATCAGTGATATGAAATCTATGAAATAAGAAGTCGATCACACAATAATTATAAAGTGAATCTTAAGAGAAAACCATTGTAATTAATTTTGTTATCCACTACACAACCAAAAACTATAGGTTCCAGTAAAAAACCCTGTGCTAACACCAAAATAAGCTGCTACAATACATGATGTCGACAACAGAGAGAAGAGGGCAAGAAGGATTATACAGTGCCTTGGACTAAAAAGACCACCAATTTAAGATTTACGAGATTATAACTGCTATTAAAGAAAAAAGGCAGTGCTGAATTCACCTAAAAGATAAAATTAGTAGTTTCTTTACAGTGCTATTTAAGAATGAGCTCACAAATAATTGTAAATAATTATTTTATGCACTCCATTATTCTGAAGAAACTGTTAGTTTAACTTCAGCTACTCAGAAGAAAAATGTTAAAAATTTTTTAATTGTTTTTTTTTGCTAAGATGGAACAAACAGAAGCCATATGAGAAAGAATTAGTTACTTTGGATTTTATTGAAGTGGTAAAGCAGGATTGTGCTATCCAGGTTCCTGTAACTGTCAACTGTAGGAACATTTTCCTATTTTGACAATTCTTTTAAAACATTCATTGAGAAAAATAAATTTTACCTTTTGCAGAAAGTAGCTTTGAAAGTTCATGAAGTTGTTGGTCTTCACAATGTTTGGACAAGTCTTACAACAAAACATTCGGGTAAAGAGTGACTTCATGGCTGGTGGTCCTGTCCACGTACTTACCATGGAATTTGCAATCTGAATAAGCAGGGGGGAAGGGAAATCATATTAACATGACCACTGCAAGTTTAGTTTGGCTGTAGAAAAATACACATTTCCCATAATCAAAAAGGATAATTGCCAAGAACATTCTCTCCTTTAAATAGATACTTATTTTCATCATTGTATTATCTTATATTAGCTAAGTTTTCACTGTCAGTCCCAATATATCCTCTCCACATTAAAGGTAAATTTTATGAAAATTGTTCCACTTGGAAGACGTCTGCAACTAATTATCTTTCCATGATAAACTTCTGTTCTTAATTATTTTCTCTTTCATATATTTTAGATGAAAATCCTGTGTTTACTAAGCCAAGTTTTCTGACTCTACGGAAGCCAGTGATGGAAGAGTATTTTGCAATACCAACTTCCCAAATTTACCCTGCCAGTAACCTCAGCCTAGACTTCAAAATAGGCCTCAGCCACCCTAAGAATAAAAGACCACCCCTAAAGTGAAAGGCAAGGCAGTCCCCTCTAACTTTAATTGTAATTTACTAATAAAGACTGTGCACTGAGAACTGCTTTGGTTCCACAAAGACAAAACTGCTTTTTGTGCCTTCCCAGCATCCTGAGTTTTCTACGTTTGTTGCATGGAACACTGAAAGTCTGCAGACAAGAACACCTGTGCCTGCTGATGGTTAATGTGCCTGATGTGTGAGCACAAACAAATGGCACCAATGCACCCTACAGTGTGGTAGGAATTTCCATTGTTACAGACCCACCAAAAGCTAAGAAAAAAATCTGTTCTCACATAGAAATAAATGAATTTGATTATTTCCGTCTGAATTATTTAGCTTGTTTCAACAGCTATTGCATACACAGTAAGTGAAAGAAAAGCAAGAGGCTATCTCAATATGGGCACCAATCTGTCTCACCATTGCTCTTGTGTAAGATGGGTGCTTTATTACTGAAAACCATTTTCCCACTAAGTCAGGCTTCAAAGGAAAGTCAGAGAGGGAAAATACTGCAGTCAGACTCGATGTTCCCTTTGCAATAACTGAAGTGTTCAAATTAAAGATGCACGTACAGCTTTTTCTGTAAGCTACAATGACTCTTCCTGCAGAGGAAGCTTAATCCCAGAGACTGCTTAGAAACCATGATGAAGAACTTAAAAACTGCAAACAGGAAATTTATGTAGTAGTGTCAAATAAAATCCAATCCCCAAAATACCTATGTTTACTATGTTTACAAGATATTCACTATTCCATTAATATCTGGGTGTACATTTTAAAATATTAACTTATTTTAAGCATTTCATTTTGCAAAATCTGCAGATGAACAACAGTATTTTCAAGTTTAATCAATAATACAGAAATCATCATCTTTTCAGAATTTTTTGGTCCTATCATGTGCTCTGATTCATTTGAATTTCCTTTTATTGACAGAATTCAATTTTTCTACTTACTCTACTGATATGTTACACACTGAATTAAATATATCTGCACATTCTCTGAACAATAATGCAAGTAGTTTGCCTTCCTGTCTTGCATTATTTCTTCTTGAAAAGGCAGCAGGTACACTCCATTTCTGCATCATTTAATTCAGTACAGCATAAAAAAGTGCACTAAGATGTAACTGTCATGCACAGCTTTGAAACTCCTCAGTGTTTGGGAGAGAAAAGTTTCTGATGGTAGTGTTCCTTTTTTACTTTATTGTGTATCCCCAAAACTGCAATGGATTCAAACTGGCAAATCAACCTGCAATACTCCTAGGAATTAATATTGTGACGTTATTTTCTCCTTTCTCTGTATTTGTTATTTGCTGTGAAGGACTCTGCACAGTGTGTGTGTGTGCACACGTACACATATATCTCTTTATTTCTTTATGGATGAGGATTTAATGTGTCACCTGGATACTCTATGGCTGTGAGACTGAAGTGCTGCTGATTTGCAGCTACAAACTGCAAATCAACTAAAAAGAACCCTCCCCCCCAAATAAACATGAGGAACTTGTTTTTTTCTTCTATAAAGAATACAAATCCTGAATATTTACAAGCTGAGAAAAGAAACACAACTGATGACAACAGGAAGCTATTCCTGCTAATGCTCTGATGTTGGAATCAGTAACAGAATCTATTACACATTTCCTCCTAGGAAACTTACATAAACATATGCACAACTCTGTTCTGCCATGCTCCTTCACCTTGATTCAGTGTCACAGCCATACTTTCTGCTTGCCTTATAATCCTCCTTTCTGTAAATCAACCACCTTATCCATAGACCCAAGATTTTCCATACAATTATAATTGAACAAAACCAATAATGATTATCTGCAGCCCAATTGCCTAAGAATTCAAAGTAAAGACAGAAAAAACTATTGCACTTAAATGTTTTAGCAACTGTTCTTTAAATATTTATCTGTGTGTGATGGTTTTGGTAACTATCACATTGTGGGATATACACTCTTTGATATTCCAAGTGAATTTATTACAAAAAGCACATACTTTAAGTCAGATACTGGCAGCACCAATACCAGCACATACACTGGCAGTTTTACATCAGTGCTTCATAATATCAAAATACTTTGTCAAAAACACTTCTTGGATTTTGGTTTTTAAAATATGGCCTAAGGACTTATTTCTATACAGGTACTGAATTATTCCCAACAGGAATATAGCAGAAAGATGCCAATAATCTGAACTCTCAAACTGTCAATAAATATGTCTTCACGTCCATTTAAGTATGTCATCAACATGCCTTTTCAGAAACTCTTGTTCTTCTGTTTTATCATCCAGTTTTATGAGGCTTTCTAATTTTCATTCTTAATGGTAATTTTGTGTCTAACAAAAATAGATCTTCCCTTTTCAAGGCAATTATTTGGCTTTTAATATTTAATTGTAGCCCAATTTGATGCTTGTTTTGTGACCCTAGTCAATCTGAAACGATATAGAGCATCAATGTGAATTCATATTAGCAAAGATGAATTTCAGCACTTCAGACTTCTCAAAAAATTGGCCAAGGAACTTCCCTGTAAAATAATAAAAAATATACTTTGGTCCTGAAAAAAAATTAAACAAAAGTCTTTTATTTCTGCCACTTAATGAAATCTGGAAAAATCCCTTGTGGTTTTCATGTCTGACATCTCAATTTTGACAATTATGAAAGCCTTATGCAGTCTCCATTTACAGACTAAAATAATACAGCTTTCCTTTCAAATCAGTCCTGTTAAAAATACTTGGCAAATACATTTACGAGGCTAAATATCAAACCATTTTAAGAACTGTGATGAGTTTTGACCCATTTTCAAACATTTACAAAGCCTAATGGATTTCTTCCCTTACTCCCACCCAGACAACCTCACCTTTGCAAGGCAGAAGCAGGCCATCATTCTCACCCGGTAGAAACACTGTTCCTGTTCTAGGATATCGGTCAGTGCAAGACGAGAGGCTGGAGTAGGGAACTTTTCCAATGCCAGAATGGCTTCTTCTTGTGCAACCACATCTCTCTCATATCGAAGCTGATACTGCCACATGAAATCTGACTGCTCAAATTCTACCTTCCTCAGTACTGACATATCGGGGTCTATTCTTATCCAGAGCAAGGGGGAATCAGCACTAAGACAGACATGAGAAACATTAATAGCTTACAAAATTTCAAGACTATAGAAATGCCAAAGATCAAGTTCTAACTTGATATGAGTTATTTGTAAAGTATTTAGATTCAAAGAACCATAAAAAAATCTAGGTTAGAGGGGACGTTTGAAAGTCTCCTGCTTCTAGGATTCTATAGCCTGCCAGGGCAATCTGTCCAAACCTCTAATACATCAAAGTGAACACAGTGCTTTAGTATTTTTAACCTACAGATCTGTGTTTATGCTAAACTACTGTGTAATCTCAGTATATTCAATTCTACTTTCTCAGATGCTATAAATGAGAAGCACTTTATCACCTTCTAAAGGTTAAGACTGTCAAAAAAAAAATTCCAGAAAGAAAATCTGATGGTAAACATCCAATTTTTTTTAATCAATAGATGTGAAAGTGCTTTACAACCACACACATGCTATGATGTTGAAAGCTAACAAGGGTAATCATGCAAATGATGATAAAAGTGAAAGTATCAATAGACAGGATTAAAGTTAACCTACAGATAAAATGACTCAGTTGTATTCCATCCAAACAAGCATTTTATACTTTAGTATTCACATGGTACCATGACTGCAGAAGTAATTTATGGGAACAACAAGCACAAACGATGCAATAAATTCTCTTATCTATTTTCCCACACAAAAGTTACATTAAAATACTGACGCGGAATTAGGAGAGTTTGGAATGGTGAAAAGAGCATCATTATAAATATGAGGTGTATGTCTTTATATATCTGTAGAATACCTAGAATTACCATCAAGATAGTAGCTAGAGAAGAAAGAACAGTGAAAAAGTGTATACATGGGATTTAGATGAATAAAAAAGAATTTATATTATATTTTTGGAGCAGAGGAGTCCGAACTGGACAACAGAATGACTGCATCACAGATTAGAAGGTTATCAGGTAAAGTGTAAGTCATATACCAGTTCAAAGGTCACTCTAAGATCATTGAAGTCTCATCTCAGTCTAAAGCAACAGTGACCTGAACATAACTGATAAAAAAACCCTCACAAATATTTATGTTAATTATACTTCAATATAATTAAAAGACTATTTATATGTCGACTGTCCTACAGAAATGGTAGCAATAACTTGCTCAACGTAAATACCCCTTATAAAATTTTTTCTCATCATATATTAGATGAGGTTAAATTTATGAGAATTTCCAACACTTTTAAAGTGACAAGCTATCTTCCCTTCTTCAAAGAGACACCACTGGTTTTCAAGAGCAGATTATTTACTTCCCTCAGCCAGAAAACAAGGTACCAATACCTTAATTGTTTTTGAAGGCACTACTGGCTCCAACTCAGGGAGGCTAAGGCAGGTATTTACATTGAGTAACAATTTGCGTCCAAAGAGCTTAACAGTTCCAACTGAAAGTAATGCCAGTGTGAATTTCAGTATGAAGCACTTCATCATTATTTTTAATCTAAAAGGATTATTCTGTAATTAACCATAGATTTCAGAACCTTGTCTGTCTTAGGGCAGTTAAATGGCCCTCATCGAGGTCCAACAAAAATTGTCCTTACTTTGTTTTGAGCAAATTCTTATTTACATTTTACCAAAAAGTCAGCTGAAAGGCATCGTTGGAAATGTGTAAGAATCAAGTAATTTATTTTATCACCTTACCATACGCAAGATTTTTTATAAAAAATTATTATAGTGGTTAACCAACACTTTTTACACTTTGCCAGCATTTCCTCAGCTACAGAAGAAAAGTCTCAAAGAAGAAACAGAAATGTGGTACAGTCTTGAAATCTGCCAGTCATATAATGAAGTACAAGATTGTTATCCAATTCTTCAAAATAGCATGCTTTAGACAAGGGGAACATGACTCAGACTCACACTGAGAAACTCCAACAAGCTAACTTACTCCATAGCAGAAAGGTCCATGTCCACCTCTTCTCCATTCATCAATGGAATCTTTTTCTTCTTATTTCTATTAAAATAGAGAAAATAGGCAAAAAAATATTACTTACCAGACCAGCAAATAAAAGTTTATAAATGGAGCATAAGCCTGCAAAAGTACTCTGTATTTCCCCACACCAAAAAATAGTGCTCTGTCCAGGAAAAAGTATTCATAAATTTGAGCTGTGCATCCATTTCTATAATTTCTACTCCTACCATTTTTACAGATACACACAAAGGTACAACTCTGAGAAGCAGAATTCAAAGTAGCTATGAAAATGCATTAGAAAACTGAGAGAATCTATTTGGGAAGTATGTCACTTTTCTTGCTCACTAGTTTTACTGAACAGCGCTGGCACTCAAGAGAACACTCTGCAAGTGCTTCTTCCCTGGATGTTCCCTTGAGGCACTCCTCTGGCCTACATTTGTCTTCTCCTTATTTGTGATTCCCATTCAAAGGCATTTTGAATAACTTCATTATTTAGTTTTCATTCAACTCATTCTATATAAACAATCTCTTTATAAAAACATTTACAAAATTACTTATAATTAAGAACTGTATATAAAATATAAGGTTTCTTTCTGTCCTTAAACAGTAAGAAATTCTATTTTCTCCACTTACAGGTAAATCTTATTTAGTAAGATTAAGAAAATATAAACACAAACATTCAAAAAACCCTATACTTATGATCAAATGCACTGTCTGTTTGCATATATCCATACTAAAAATCCTTGTAGTTTGTACTTTAGTTCTTACCTTCTGCTTTTAGAATGGCAAGGTATATCATGTTTAAGACTGTTTTCTTCAATCTGCAATGTATGGTTGAACGAGCCATCAAGTTCTTGCACTGTCACTTTGAGTGGACCCTTCAAGTTCACAAGATTTTGTTATTAACATTAAATTATGCTTGTTAATGTATATATTAAACTTGTACGTGTAGGTAAAATATGGAAAATGGACCTTACCACGTATTTCTGAGTCCCAGGAGATGTATAGTCTTGTTTTATTTCCAATTCCAATACATTCCGTTTTCTATTAAATGCAAAGCTGCCATAAAATTTTACCACTCCACTCTGATCCCTAATAAGCAGTATAGGAACTCTAGTGCACAGTGCAGTAGTTATAAACAAACATAATTCTCAATTCTTTACACTTGCTTTATGTTTTTTTATTCCTAGAATTTCCCATCCCAATAAAATCAGGAAATGAAAACATGTTCATTCATGAATTTTTCAAGATTTTTGAAGTTTTGATGTTTCTTTGTGGGTTTTTTTAAATTTATTTATTTTAAACAGTTCTTTAATTCCAGTATCCTCTCTTATGGAGAAAAACTGAAATACAGTGAAAATTACCAGTAAGAAAAAATTAATTATGAAAAACTATACTGGACTCCACCACATCCAATGTCCTTGATATGCTCTCAGAGAAAGTAGTTGAGTAAGACTTCAGTAATTTCAATATGGTTTGTTCTACTATATATTTTAGTTAAATGACACCAAAGGGAAAATGTAGACATCAGTTTCTGTTTTCTACCCACATTACATTTAACTCAGTTATTTTATTTCAATTTTTCAAACTGGGTCATGTGAGCTTTCACATGGGGGTGTGTATATGAGTTCATATATTCATGAGAGGATACAACATGAATGTGCTTGACATCAGGTACAGTTTAAGGCATTTTTAGTGGTTTCTTCAGCACAAGGTTTAAACTCAGTATCAACACAGCCCTCATTAAGAGCATAAGAAAAAGCTAGTTAAGAACATCTCCTCTAAAACAACATAAAGACCTGCTGTGGTCTTAGGGTGGAAAATCTATTGTCACAGGTGTAACTGTTTCAAGCACAGTGGGGAGGTTGCAATCATAGGATTAAATGCAAGGTACAGTTAACAGGATAAGCCTTGGGGCCAAAGTCAATAGAAGCTGAAAAATCCCCAAATCCAAGAATTACAATTCTTCTTTGTTTACAGAACAGATGTAGTTTAGATTCACCCTGCTCAGATAGTAATGCTGACATTTAGGTATAGCCGCAGTGGGAATATATGTACATACAGAACTTGTATTTTCCTCAAATATGGAAATTAGAATAATGTGTATTTATACTTTACGAATAACTTCCAATGCAAATAAAGTGCTAACTTCCCATATTACTCTATAAATATCAATTATACAGTGCTTTTTAGTTAGATATTGAGATGCATGAGCATTGTTAAGTCCGCTCAGATAAATAATGTCTAAATATAAATACCTACTGTTGTTGACTGTTAGAACAGTATGGTATGTTTTTGCTGCAGGTCATGTACGATTCCAGCCTGCAGTCACATTAAATAAAACTAACAATTAAACCTGTTAAATGGAGCAAATTCAAATGTACCCTCATATCAATCCAAAATAAGAAATCCTATTTCTTGCCTAATATCACTGAAATTTGACGAGTCAACACACAGAGGTTTATTTTACCTGAAATTGTAATATTAACACCAGCTACCAAGCTATTAAAGTGTATTGTAAACTATCAGTCTGTGCTTTAGGTTACTTATTTCATGGGGATTTACTGGAAATCACATATTAAAATGCACCAGACTATAGCATTTTCCATGTCAGACTTCAGCATATTTCTATGGGCAGTGTCCTCTGGAATCCCTTTAGTATAACTTGGCCTTAAATTCCTGCAGAGTTCTTGTGCTTCTTTCAAAGTAAAACTTAAACTAATGAAATCCCTTCTGGTAAAGAACATGCAAAAAAAGCCAGCACAGCCCAAAGGATGATGAAAAGATTGTGAACCTGTGAGTCACATATACATCTAATTCACAGAATAATGTACCAAACTGTTTCATACCTTCCTCCACATTCCTTTAATAGTGCCAATTACAAAACCAAACTCGTTCCCCATATTAACAATCCAGACCAAGAATAAAAAGGATACACCCACTGCTTTATTAAAGGTTGGATGTCTTTTCCTGAGACATTTGAGATAGATTTCAAAAACCCAGATGTGGAAACCAACATCTGACTCCACATGTGTGACTGGAACTTCTGAGATGAAGCAGTGCTGGCCAGACTCAACAACTTGTTGAAAACCTAAAATGATAAAAAGTTATTACTTTCCCTAAATATTTCAATATATAAAATAAGCTTTTATGTTTAGTTGCAGTTGAATTGCAACTAAAATAGAAATTGTGATTTGCAGTCTCAAATATCTTTCTCAAAGTTACGTATATATATGCATACATAAAATCCATTAAAAATCCATCAACTTTCAAAAATTATCTACAGTAAAACAGATCATTATCTCCCTTTTCAGAAATAAAATATTCATCAGGTTCTCTGCTGCGTTTTCAACCTGACAACTACTTACAACAGCTCTACAACACACATGTTTTCTTTAAAAAAAAACCCAAAACAACAATGAAAAAAACTAAAGCCCCTCTCAAAACCTGAATTTGATATGAAAATATCATTCCATTTCTGACTGGGTATTTGTTGCACCCTATCTTTTGTAAGGCATGTCACAAAAGGTATTTAGCAAAGGAGAGAAACTACAGTTCTGCACAAGTTTAGCCTTTCAGAATAAAATTACAATCTTCTATTCAATTGCTTCTTCTGATCTAAATTTCTATGTTCCATCCAGTACTGATAGTTTTATATAGTGGAAAGAGCAGAAGCTGGATTCTCATTACTTTCATTACTTATAATTTCATGAGATTAGCTCACAGCTACATCAGCTAGGGCTCTCAGTTTTGACAACCGATCACAACAACCCAAACCAAAGAAATACCCTAAGATTAAAGAGCACATGCAATATATAAAAAGTATTATAGGATATGCATCAGAGTAATAGCTAACCTTACCCTAGCACAAATGACCTACATTTCATGTTCATTCAGTCCTCCTAAAACTGAAACTACAAATGGAGTCCTATGATGACCTGTTTTGTTCTTCTCTAAACTCCATTTAATGATTAGAAATGCAATTAAAGACAAAAAGCTTTCTACATTCTGCACAATCATTTAAATACCTACCTGTAACATGAACTCCATGCTAATTCTGTTCTCAATCAGTCTCATAACAAGATGTGCTTTACACTGGAACATGGTGTAATACTCCCAGGACAGTGTATGAGGGTGTTTGATAGAAAAATGTAAATGTGACGCAGGGCTGAAAAAAAAAAAGAAAACAGCTCTCTATTTGGCATTTTACTGAATGAAAGTTAAAACGGACCTAGCACAAAGCTTAGAGTTGTACCAACAATATGTCAAGATCTCTTATGCAGCTTTAGTTATAAATAGTGGAATGCTTGCAATGGCCACTCACTTGTACAGAGAGGTGACAAGGGTGTTCAGGATCCGGGATCCAGCAAGTACTGGTTGGAGACTAATGGCAACAATACCCGCTGTAAAGAGAGTGGTAGCACTAACAAACTGAGCAAAGAATCTGTGACTTTCTGGAAATTACTAATGAATCAACGTTCTTCCTGCTCCACTTCCCTTTTAAGAGTGACTGTATATAGAAAATATTCTGGATTTAAATAAATAACTGTTGCAATTAAAGAAAAGTAAGAGTTTTACAATTCACAGCAGACTTTCATGTGATGAGCCAAAGCAACTGCTTTATCCTTATTTTAGTTAGCAACTTTATCTTTCAATACTTCTGCAAACTTGATATCCTCTAAATCAGATATTGCAAGAAAGACTAGGCAGAGCATCACATTACAGCTACCACACTGTTTCCATAACTTGAATTATCTGTGGTGTTCCTTCACATATACCCTTCATGACTATAAGCAAAATATTTTGAATGGTTTAAGTTCATTCCATATCAGAAGACAAAAATGGTGAAAACCCTGAAACTTTAAGAAACAGAACTGATTTCTCGATAGCCTTAGTGGCCGTACAACAATAAAGCACCAAAAGACTTAATTTTTATGAGCTTCAAAATTAATTTTCTCCACCAAGTTTTACATTTCAGAACACAAGTATTCTGACTTATGGTCCAGTTTCAAAGTAAAAAAGTAACTGTAATACATAATACTGGAGAAAAATAAGACTTTTTTTGCCTCCTTTCAAGGAGGCTACTTCTCTTGAGAAGAACAAGTAATTAAAAGTCTGACTTAATTTTATTGAGGAACCAAGTCTGTGGCAACTCCATGTCGTTGTGCTATGTTTTTTCTTCAATTTTTTTTTTCACAGAACATTTCAGTTTTCCATGAATGAATAACAAACATCTGAAGAAACTGTACCCACACCATGTCAGGCCAGCTTCTTAAGAAGTGGAAATCCAGATTTATTTTATGCTGGTTGGTGGTTAATTAGAAATTGGCCATTGCAACATTGAAATGCCAGCAACTTGAAATTTCTCAGCTCGACTGGATTCTTCCCCTGTGATTGTCACTTATAGATAATCTAACTAAACCATTTCCAGATGAACCAGACACCAGAACTGCCCAAAGGTTTTAGAAGGCACAGCAATAGAGAATGAAATGATTTACAGATTGTAACGATCAAAGGTAAGTGCTGTAAGCCTGATCTTTCATGCCAGCTACCTCAGGAAGAGACTGCTCTCCCAAACTTTTAAAGACCTATTAAACAAAGCATTTTAACTTCAACCAATCTTTCCATGCAGTTGAAAGACATATTGCAGCAAGTACTCTAGCAGGACAGGACCAGCACTTAGCTCCTCTGCAGCCCTTAAGATTTCAGATGACAAAACCCAAGGTAGCTGCAGTACCTTAATATTTTTCCCATCTTTCTATTCACTGGGAGACTCCCTTTACTTGCTCATGAATATCTGTTTAAAAATCTTAAGATACAAAAAGAAAAGTATTTCTAAATCTAAGCAAGTACTAAGCCCTAATCTAAGCCCTCCTTAGGTACAGTAACTATATGAAAAAGAAGTATATAGGTTTACTCCTTGCTGTTTCTAGTTGATAAGCAAGTTCTCTTTATCACAGTTCTCCTGTTCTTTTGGATAGTTCTCTATTCTGAGGTAGGGAAGGTTTAACAACAATCAAAGAACTGAAAATCAAGGAGGAAACTGAGGTTGTGGCTCAGACATTATATAATAATTTGGTCTCAGTATAAAAACTATTTATCCAGCTTCAAATTATACAGCTGATTGACTCTGGTAAAATTCTTTTCTTGCAAATTACAACCAAGCCAGGACCCACATTCTTGGCCTTAATTTTACCAAGTGTTGATTGATTTTGGTACTGGTTACATTATTTAACAGCAAAACAAACTGAGGCAACTTTGCATTTAACAGTTATATTCTGTAGTTCATTCAGTATTAGTACATTTCTTCAGATAATACTTTTCTTCAATCATTATACTTCTAAAACTTTTATTGAATTGGCACCAAATGAGAATTAAAATTAGCAATATGGACCTAGAACCTTTGTCAAAGTGGAAACTGAACCGACACTTCCAAGGAAATTTATAATGATCATGCTCTTGAACACACTCCCAGCATTCAATGTAAACCTGTTAATAAGTTTCTTTCACATGAAATATATCTGTATACATTTCTTCAACTTTTTAGTTTTTATAGTAGGGTGGTACCAGCACAATCAAAACTGAATAGAACCAAAGTCTGAGAGAGGAGAACACGAAAGGAAAAGGTAACCCACAAAGCTTTGCTCTGAAGCTTTCATCCATACAGCAGTTAACCTGCAGCTTCCTTTCCTTCATTTGCTCAAGGTCTGGGATTTTGTCTTTTAGAACAAGGGCTCTGGAGAGCAGTGTCTTTGTTACACCAGACATAAACAGGAAGAACCCGTTTTGCATAGAAATTAATTCATGTGTCTGAAAGAAGGTGAGGTTTTTTTCTCTTTGATGATTTATTACCATATTCTACTTCTAATTTAGTTGAAAAAGATAATTAATTAATGCAAATTTTCTTCATATTATTATTAGTTAGAACTGCTGTACCACAAACATGTTTGGCAGAAAACTGTATCATAACAAAAAGAACAAAGAAATGCATAGAATATGTTGGAGAAAAAATGCTGTAGACATCATTGTGAAAATACTTCCCCTAAATACAAATCATCTACCAGAGTCAGGAACATATACTTAATTTACATACAAGGGAACTTTGCAAGTTGTAATTTATATTTAAGTGATGTTGTGGTTATTACGACCAAGCTGTAATACAGTGCAGTAGTAAAGTAACTGTAGAAACACAGTGTCCAGTAGTACATCACATAGAGGAAACACATTTATGAGCGTCAGGACAAGATTTTGTCAATTATTTGTAAGCAATTCTAGAATAAATATGATGAAATTAATAAAATTAACAGTTACAAAGTGACTTTGATTTTAGTGACTTTCCTTTTTTTAAATAAGTGTTCCTTATTTCTAGTTTCACCTGATCCTATTACTGTGAATTTAGTTTCTCTGTATAGGTGAGTATGCTGCTGAATTGTAATGCTGCCAATTAAAAAGTCTGCCAAGACCTTATTTTCCAAATTTTCATTTAAAAAAGACATCATAAGCAACAGCATACCATAAAATGACCATTGCTAACTATAATTTGCTTTTCGGATGTATGTGTAACACAAGCATCCAGGTCCTTGGTCTGCATAAAAGAAAGAACAGTAAACTAAATCAAAATCCATCATGAGCAGACAAACAAAACTGTGTAACAGCTTGGCATGCACATACAAGCTGCATCTGTGATTGTCAACAGCCAGAGAACATGGTCATTGCTGAGGGTTCAACTGGCTCAGGTGAAATAGGACAACACGTCCTATTTCTGACTTCAGAAAACACTTTCTTCATATATCAAAAAAAAAAAAATGCTCATTCAAATTTGAAATGAGTGATTTTTATAATTCATTCAGTTCTAAATTCAGAGTTTTTAATTTTAAATTAACAAAATTTGGATTTGCATACAATCAAATGCAAGAGAACCACTGTTATATACATTTTGGTTGTATTTTCACAAACAGGGGCTTCTGCTGCAGTAAAGACAAGAAAATCACATATTCTCCCATACCTCCACAGGCTCAACCTCACAGTTTTGCACATGCTGCTCGTGAGTTTAAAAAGAGCAAGTCCTTGTGAGGCTATGTCATAACTAGATCAATTTATGCAACAAAAGCAAAAGCTTGTCACTGAAACCCAGATAAACTTTACTGATCTGACATCTAGTAATATTTTTCTACCTCCAGTGGTTCATATTACTCAGTGGGTAGTAGTATTGGAGTATTACAATAGAGGTAAGGGGAATAATTTTAAACTAAAAATACTGAAGCTACAGTTACTGGGAAAATACAAACCCAGCCTGTTCACACTGGAAACCAACAGTTCTTTACAGTACACTGATCTAGTACTTTTTTCCCCCAAATATATTAAGAAATCTCAGTGTAAGATTAAAAGGTGATATTTAAGAATGGAAAGAAAACAGAGCAAAGAAACAGAAAGCTGAGGATATTCTAAAAAGCCTGAAAACTACTACCCTCTCCAGAAATAGCTCAGGTCAAAATTCTGGAATCATCTTCTCTCTTATCCTCTTACTAAAAAGCAGTTTCATAACAGCATTAAAAACATTCATTATAATTAAGTCCTTTTGAGATTTAAAGAAAGACAAATAAAACCACAGTTATTACAATATTCTCAAGATGTGCTTTATGAGACTGGTAATACATGCCTTGGGCAGCTCAAGATCTTCAGCCTTTGGCTTTGTGCTACACAACACACCCAAGGCATATATTAATGGTCCCATGAAAACATACCCTGCAATGACTTGCAGCTTAAATAAACATACTTGTCTTTCTCTTTTCCTCCTCCGAATATTGGATGCAGTAAAACTCCACCAGTCTTCAGTTCGTATGCCACTATTTGATCTAACTCCTAAGAAGAACAACATACTTAAGTAAGCATAATTCAAAACCAATTATTTAAAGAAGACAAGAAAGCTTTTATTATCATTGTTCAAGCCATACCTCCTAATTAACCTTATTTACAAAGAGAGAGAATATTTTAAAATCAGAGGTGTTCCTTGCACAACAAACAATAATAAACCAGTAGAAATTAGCAGTTAATACTTATTCTGGGTCTGGACAGTGGGTCAACCCACAACAATACTGAACTACATTTTAGCTAAAAAGTATTATTATTCAATAAATAAGTTGTCTCTAACCAAAAGGAATAAAAGTGATCAGCATTTCCTTGCAGCAGAGAGCAACTACAGCCTCCCCATACGTATATGTATGTATGTATATAATATACATAAGTAAAATTAAATATTTAACTATGAATATATATATATATACACACACACATCTGGCTCAAGCTCTGCACAGGAACGTGAATCTGAATTTGTGTGATGCTGTGCCCATGTTAACAAGCACACTTTAAGGCCGGATGTTTGCATGGGCTCACTGTCACTCAACAGTCATTACCATGATTCATTACCATGAATCCAATCAGCGTAAACCGATGTCTGTCCGTAACCCAGTGTTAATTAAAGAATTTTCGAATGTTGATATGTATTGATATTCATTGATTCATATAAACTGACACACTTTCATACACTGGTAACACATTCCAAGAAGGAAGGGCAGAACAGGAGGCTGTGACAGTAGCACCTCTCAGTTCTATGTGGACATCCTTAGCAACTCCAGGGGGACAACACAGCAGTGAACTCTGCAACAGACCTTCAGACAGCCGGGCTGTTCCCTGCAGCACCCACACCTTCAGCACACACAGCACACGACCGGGGAGCTGAAGGAACAGTAGGCAGACAAGGATATGGTATTGGGTCCCCATGGGAGTACGGGATGTTAATGGAGCCCATGGGGTTAGGAATTTACTTTTTTGGAATAGGAAGAGGAAGAGAATGTGATGAGAAGAAGAAGATGCACATCTTTCTATGAATGAATGCTACTGGCAAACGATGAGGAGTCACTGCTTCTATCACTGGAAAGTATCTGTGTCAGAGCATTACATTTGGAAATGTAAGCTATAGACAGAAATTTCTTTTCCAAGTCAAGAAATCCATTCAACAGGAATTTTTTACTGTTTCATTATTTCATCTAGCACTCCAATGATATTAAAAGTTACCTGGTCCACTACTGATCCAAGCTAATACTGGAGCCTTTCTGAGCTACACAGATGGCCACCACAGTATAATGAATTCATCAAATACATATCCTTATGAATTCTACATTCTATGTATTCAAAAAGTAACACCTTTTTTGACCTTTTTTTTTGGTGTACAAGTCCAAACAAAAAGAGGAAAACTAATTGCACAGAGAGACAATGAAAATTATTATTCATTATTCATATGGCAGTCAGAAAAATGTGTTCTGGTTCCTATGTTTGGGGGATTTCCTTGCAGAAAGTGGTAAAGATATTTTAGCTCTATGTTTTATCACTACTAAACATGTCTTTAGATTGCAATGAAAAGCTGTTTTATATTCTGGTTTTATACTGTATCTTCTTCAATGCAAAACATCTAAAAGGTATAGAAAACTATTATGATGTTACCTGTTTAATCCAGTGGCGATACTCATTAACACCAAAGGTTTTTTTCATCCAAAGGCCATAAATGTAACCAGAAATTCCCTTTAGCACCCATTCATCTGACCTATAAGAAAGATGCATGAAATATATAATTTCAGAAGATATTTTGTAGGGGACGGTATTTTTGACCAGCTCAAAAATAGTCACAATATTTAACAGGTTATGTAACTTCTCTAAGTCAATAGGAGTCTGATGAGCTGTGAACCAATTTATGGATCTTGGCACCTGGATGGGACCAATGAAACTGAAAAGTCAGTGAAAACTGAACTTTTACCACAGAAATCCAGATTAAAATATAAACCCAAACTATTTTAGCCGAAATAGTAATAATAAATGGGTGGAAATGGATACTAAAGCTAAAGCAACTGCTAATCTATACGATCTTAAGTTCTTGATAACCATCTCAATGCAGAAGATTTGGACAGCAAGTAAACAAAATACCTATCACAATTTGGTGGACACCCATTTAAACACATCTGTGATTCTAAGAGAGAAAAATATGGACAAAAACTACAACAAGAACTAGAATTGTAAACAGAAGAATGATACACAGGGTACGATGAAGCGAATAAAACAAGAACATATAAAAAGGGAACCATGAAAAACATAAAAAATTGTCTTCACCATGGAAGTAGGCTACGAATAAAGAAGGGCAAGAGAAATTATTATAGAATGAACACCAATTTAAGAACATTTTGATTTCCTTTTTTTAAGATAAGGATACTCCGGGACATACACTTTTGTAAGGAAAAAAAGTAATGGGCTAATTGTCCCCAGTATAAGAAGTGTATGCAAAAGGTTTCAAAATAAATACTGACCATAACTGCAAGAACCAGCTGAGGAAATTTTCTGAGCAATGAAGTTATAGCTGCCTTAGCAGGAATTTTCCTGTTTGACGCTAATTTCTGCATTGTCTTCCCTGAACAACTTCTTAATTTATTAGTTCTGTGTTCTGTAAGTACTTCCTATGCAGGCTACACTTCTTCACCCAGAAAATCTGACAGAAATTTACTGATGATGTAGAAGAGTCTCCCTTCTAAAATGTCCAAGTGCCAAAGCACACTACAACATTCAAGAAGGCATATCCTATCTCTACAGCCTTTGCAACTTTTATCTCTCACATTCTCCTTTCAAACAACAACAACAAACGGATTTTCATTTATTGAGCTGGTTTTATTACTTTGTTTCCTTTTTCTTCCTTTCTTCTACAATTTGAGTGTTGCTTATTTTGCTGATAAAATGTGATATGCAAATTAAAATTTTAGCTTCCTAGATTTTTCCCATTTTCTAGAGAATAGTATGGTAAAATACTTACCAGGACATTCTGGATATGAAACATCCAAAGAACTGCTGGGCCAGGGCCTGTGCTAAGCACCTCCTTGTCAGTGGAGTTTCATCTATAATCATTGCGCTGTGCAAGAGATTTGTGCTGGACCCCCATAAAAAGAAAATAACACAACATGAGCACCAGCTCCAAAGAAACACAAGAGACCCTGCTTTAAAAGCCAAAATAAATCAAATAATTCATTCACTGTTTTTCCAGTGAGACAGTAACACCTTTTTTAAAATAATCTTATAAATCAGGCAGATCTCCTGCTATACAGGAGGTCAGTATATACATCCATATACAATCTCTGTGTAGAGGCTAAACAGTGTAACTGGTGAAACTCTCTTGGATTCCTGATATCCTATTCCAGCTGAAGAAAAGTAAAACACAATCAAACTTCTGCACTTAATTTGAGATTAAATATTTTATGCATGGCATTTCTAATTCAGAAGGAAAATCGCTGCCAGTTTTTTCTTAAAGTAAATACAAATCTAACCTCTTTAAAACAGATAAAAATGGCAATGGTGTTAAAAGCTTGTAATGCCAACAAAAACGAGCCTTTTCAAACTAGAGAGCCCAAAACTCAGGCTACAAAAATAACTAGACTTTCAGATATTTCTCAACAGGTTTGGATCTAGAGCTTCTAGGCCTGTGGTGCCATTTTCTCATAACTAACCTGAAAATACTCATGGATGCATAAGCAGCTACTTCAACATAAGCTTCGTCTATGAAAACAGTCTTGAAACAGGAGTATGGGTAGCGGCAGGTAAGAATCTCCTCATAAAATTCAAACACCTCATGAAGGTATGATGTGGTGTGTTTGAGCAACGGGAGAAGTTGTGGTAAGCAAAAGTGAGTCACCTACAAAACACAGGAGAATTTGTCAGAAGGCCTACAAATATATTCAAATACATAAAGCATATTACATAACAGAAAAAATGCAACTCCAACTAAATTCATCCCATAAATTCAGACAGAAACAGAATTATTATTCATTCAAAGGCTTTATTTTGGACATAAACTTAAATACAAGCATTACTAGACAAGCTTTATCATATAACTGTACTAATGGAGGTTGATCTAGACATATCCTCATTTGACCGATTTATACTGGTTGCAACATAAAAGTCAGTAATTCTTTAAAAAAATAAAAAGGAGACCTCTATGATGAAGATTATTACCTCATGCATGTATGGATCAACAAGGATTTCAAAAGGTCCTATTGCCAAGGAGATGTTAGAAGCTGCAGTTGGAATAGTCAGCATGTAATGAAAAGTCTTCTTTCTCATATCGTGGGTGTACACAGTTTCCACCAAATCTCCGTTTGAAACAGCCACCATTGCAGCATCTACAGTATATTCAAGCTTCCAGGTACACAACTCAGAATATGAATCAACACAAGGAAACCAAAATCTGGGAAAGTTAAAATTGGGGGGAAAAATGGTTAATAATTCTACTTAACTCTTTTTCCCACGTGATTTTTCTCTCAAGTTCCAAACTATATTCCTAAATACTTTAAGAATATATGAATGTTGACATACTGACTCCTACAATACATTAACTTAATAAAGCTTTATGAGTTTTTTTGACATTATCTCCTGCTGAGCTATAAAGACCAGAAATCCTAATTACTAGCCATTAGATGCTACTTCACATTGGTAAGATCCTTTCAAGCACAAATTAAGTTCTAGAATTTTTCAAACTTAGAAGAATTCAAGGAAATTATTTGTATTTCCTACACTAAATAGGAAATACAGTCTAACATTCAAAGACAGTTTTCTTACCTTGTAGAGTTCTGATAACCACATGAAAAGACATGAGCCCCTCTTTCTGCCATGTTGCCCTCCATGTTGGGTACCACAAAATGAAGGCCTCCCTTCGGCTGGTCCAGAGAAAAGTTTATATGCACCTTCAGCACTTTTAACTCTGCAGCACAAAGACCAAAACTGGAGTAAATATATGCAACTTACATGAAAGTTATTTCAGAACAGTAATTCAGTTTTGGACTCTTGGTCTTTCAAGACTATGTGTTCACTTCATTCTCCTGGACTTCTGAGTCCTCTTAAAAAGTACAGCTCAAAAGCTTAAAACCTGAGACCTCCTAAGCATAACTTACAGGATATGAATTTATAGGAATCTTTATTAATTAATAAAAGCTGCAATCGGAGCTACGTTTAATCTTCCAATTTCCCAACAGTAAAGCATCTTTACACCCTAACCATGATCTCCTTTGTACCTTGCTGAAATAATGTTCTACAAAAACTGCATGTAGAAGGCACATTCTTAAAAGACATATTATTGTCATTTGCAGTTGCTTAAAACCTCTTATTATAGCTAACACTTTTCCTGTAACTTAAGTGTCTTTGCTTTGGTTTAGTTTCACAGAAATTTCACCTATGAATAGGCTGGCAAGAAAAGAAATTCAAGCATACACTGAAATTTATCCCACAAGTCTCACCATATTTTGGCATTCAAATTTGAAAAGTGAAATTATACAAGCTTGAATATTTTCCTTTCTAGGCTTGCAAATAAGGCAACAGGAACTTAGACAAAAATTAAAAGAAACAAAGATGTCTTTCCCATTAAGCTGCATCTGATAACACTGTGTGAGTCAGCTTCATGATTCAGTTGTTATTATTTTCTCACAAGTCTCACAAATCCATGGGAAAAACTGATTAAGCCATGTAAGAAAATTATACAAGAAACTAATAAGATCCACTAAGAAAACAGTCAACACCAGAGGGTAATTTATTCAAACAGTTGCTTACCCCAAGATCTAGTATGCCAGTTTATAAAGCAGTCTATTTTCACTACCAAATCAATTTTAAAATGACCATTCTTCAAAGTGAGGTGGGATAAAATTGATATAGCTTTGTATGAAGATGGATATAGCTATATCCGTGTAAATTATTTTCTCTGTTGGATCATATATATTGTGAGTAACCCCAAAATCACAATTTAGAACCCAATATACTCCATTATTCCCACTTCCTCAGATATTCTTCTGGGGTCATGACCACCCAAGAGTATGTTTGTAAAGAGTGTTAAGAAATCTTGCTACCATTTCTCCATATTACCAAGAAGTGTGAAGGTATTTTTTCATACTTCAAGTGGAAAGATACAGGTGATGAAAAAGGAAACAGTAACCAAAATTTCATAAAATAATGTAACACTACTTCTACTTATTTAAATCTACCATCCTCCCATGCAAACTTGTAGCTAAGAACTCTATGGCATCTTAAATTAAGTTTTCAGTATGGTCTCCTTACCATCAACATGTTTCCACAGCTCCGAGGGAACCTTAATGCAGAGTTCTCCATTTCCAGCATCTGGGTCCACAGCACTGACTGCAGCAGCATAGGCATTGGAAAAATAGTTGAGATTCCTCCTGTCAGAAATACCCAGTTAATTCTTAAAGTGCAGTTGTGCTGAACCACAAAAAACAACTTTGGCAGATATACAATTTCTATACTGAATTTCAAGGTGTATGTTCAACCACGTGTTTTGTTTTGTTTTTAAAGAAGAGAAAAGGAGTAAAGCTTAGATTTCAACAACCAGAACTTAAAATGTGGCTCTTGTAGAAGTGATCCATGATCAAAAAGACTTAAGCAGCAATAATCCCCAATAAATTAAGTGAGAAATGCTCAGTGTTCTTTTCTAGCCAATAAGAGTAATACTTATATTTATTAGGTTAGAAATTTTAAATTCTGGGTTTTTTAATTTTGAGTTAAGTTTGTAACTTTTTCCTAAAGATCTGTCTTGAAGATCTGCTTCCTCATATATTGCAGTTTTGCTCTTATGTTCCTTTTCTAAATGTAGTAAGATTTTAGCTTGGCATTGGTATTTTTCCTCCCTTAGTTTGATGGATAGGAAGAGGAGTTTTTTATGCACTTGTAAATATCACATAAACTACTACAGGTTAGAGTTTTGGCCTTAATACACAAACACAGAAATCACAGAATCATAGAATCAGCCAGGTTGGAAAGCACCTCTGAGATCATCAAGTCCAATCCCTGATCCACTACCACTGTGGTTACTGACTATGGCACTAAGGGCCACATCCAGTCTCATCTTAAAAACCTCCAGGGATGGTGAATCCACCACCTCCCTGGGTAACCCATTCCAATGCCTGATTGCGCTCTCTCTAAAGAATTTCTTCCTAATATCCAACCTAAGTCTCCCACGTCAGAGCTTAGGACCATGCCTTCTTGTCTTACTGCTGGTTGCCTGGCAGAAGAGACCGACCCCCACCTGGCTACAACCTCCTTTCAGGGAGTTGTAGAGGGTGATGAGGTCTCCCCTGAGCCTCCTCTTCTCCAGACTAAACAACCTCAGCTCTCTCAGCCTCTCTTCATAGGACTTGTGTTCAAGTCCCTTCACCAGCCTGGTTGCTCTTCTCTGGACCTGCCCCAGCACCTCAATATCCTTCCTGAACTGAGGGGCCCAGAACTGAACACAATACTCAAGGTGTGGCCTCACCAGCGCTGAGTACAGGGGAAGGATCACTGCCCTGCTCCTGCTGGCCACACTGTTCCTGCCATTGGCCACCTTGGCCACCTGGGCACACTGCTGGTTCGTGTTCAGCTTCCTGTCCATTCAAATTGCCAGGTCCCTTTCTGCCTGGCTGCTCTCCAGCCACTCTGTCCCCAGCCTTCAGGGGGTTGTGGCCAAAGTGCATGACCTGGCACTTGGATTATTCCCCAACACTGGAATTAGACCATCTCTCCAGCTTGTCCAGGTCCCTCTGCACAGCCCTCCTGCCTTCCAGTTTAGCCTTGAGTTTAGCAACTTTGTTAAACTCAATCCCCTCACCCACATCATCAATTATGATGTTAAACAGGACTGGTCCAACACTAATCCCTGGGGGACACCACAGTGACCGGCCGCCAGCTGGATGCAGCCCCGTTCACCAGCACTCTCTGGGCCCGGCCCTCCAGCCAGTTCTTAACCCAGCACAGAGTGCCCCTGTCCAAGCCGTGGGCTGCCAGCTTTTCCAGGAGTATGCTGTGGGAGATGGTGTCAAAGGCTTTGCTCAAGTCCAGACAGACACATTCACAGCCTTCCCTTCATCCACCAGGTGGGTCACCTGATCATGAAAGGAGATCAGGTTGGTCAGATCTTCCTAAACTTGTGCTGGCTGGGTCTGATCCCTTGTCCATCCTGTAGGTGCTGTGTGATTGCACTCAGGATGATCTGCTCCATAACCTTGCCAGGCACTGACGTCAAGCTATGTCATGGTTTTACTGGTTCCTAGAAATTAGGTAGGAATTTTTCCCTTCCCCCTGCCCACTGCTCTAACAGGTCCCTGTCCTCCCTGTGCTGATGATCCCAGAGCTGGATGCAGCACTCCAGGTGGGCTCTCACCAGAGCTGAGGGGAGGGGTAGAATCACCTCTCTCACCCTGCTGCCCATGTGCCAGTGAGGCAGCCCAGGACAGGGTTGCCTTTTAGGTTGTGAGTGCACCATGATGGCTCATATTGAGCCCCTCATCCCCCAGCACCCCAAAGGTCTTTCTCCACAGGGTTGCCTGCAATCCCTTCATACCCCAGCCTGTACTGATACTGGGGGTTGCCCTGACCCAGGTGCAACATTGCTATACCACAATGGAGTAAATTAACTCTCGGCTGGGGACTCCGCCTTCCATGGAATCTGAAGTCCACACAAAGTAGACATGATCTCATTTCAGGATTTTGCTTTGATCTAACAATTCTCTATTCACCACCCACAGAGAAATCAACCCAAATTACAGTACCTTATTTGGAAGAATGAAGTGTAATTAACCATGCCAGCATCATTCTGTAAGTCTAGCTATGTCAAACACGACGCTTAATAGTCTTAGTCTTCCACATATAAAAAACTTTGCTAAAACACTGAAATATATTGAGAACATATTTTCATGTAGTTCTTCATCTTTGGCAATAACAGTGCACAAATTCCCTGGCACCACTACCAGGACTGAGAATATCAGGAGCAGTAAACTTGTCTACTTCACTTGGAAGCTTCTGAAAATCAGACATGAATAGTAAATGGGACCATTTGAGCAGAGAAACACCCAAATCTCAAGTTTTAATAATTTTTTTCCCTTTTTCACAGATGAAGTGTACCTATAGATAGGATCTAACACCAACAAGTTTTAAATGCAAAAGTTTGAATTTGTACACTGGAATATACTATAACTTCAGCTATGGCTCCAGAACAATTCAAACCCACTTAAACTCCAGCTGATGTGCTGTCTCCCAGTCTCAGTCACTCATTCCTGCTCCCTCCCTCACTAAGGAGACTACTGTTCACCTGACCCTGGGGGGATCCAGCTCACAGTGCCAAATGGAAAAAGAGTCTTTTTCTTTCTTTTCAGACAACTTTCAGTTGGTTTACCTCCCTGATCTGTCATACTGAGGGCTCAAAGAAACACCCTAGCCAATGTTGTTTTAATCCATCTTCAAATGGCAGAAAGGCAAACAAATACCACTGGAAAAACTCTATTTAAAAGAAGACTGCACAACTAAGAACTATATTAGTAATTAAAAAAACTAGCAACAGCAAACAACAGTAACATTCTTTTAGACTGTAAAGTCTGAAAGTTTTAAATTTTAATCTAAATTGGTTCTGAAAAATTACTATTTTTCATAGGGGATCCCTTTCCAATACATCAGTGAGAATTTGTTCCAAGTTTGAGCATTGTGATGAGCTTGTGGCTATACTTCAAACATCAGTGAGTTCACAGACAGGAAAAGGTTATGATTTTACAGCAAAACAGGTAGACTCCACAGACTTTAATATTTTGTGGAAAACAGTCTATTCTGATATTTCTATTTTTGTGAAGTGCTCTAATTCAAATGGGTGATTCATTGTGAAAGGAATCTATGAAAGGCTTAGTACCACAGATTAATTTTTTCATAGGTTGAACTATTCTCCATAAACTGGATATGGCCATTTTAACAAAAACACAAGCCAAAACTGACAGCCCAAGGAACAATAATAAATTTTCCTGATTGTAAGTGTAGATTGAAAAGGAAAAACAAATAGGCCATTCATGTTTTCTTCCTGGTAGGATACATTTTATTATCAGAATTCACCCCAAACACTGTTAATTACACCCCAAGTGCATGCAATTTGTAAAGAAGGGATTCTGTAGAGGCTTATTTTTTAATGCTACTAACTGATTCCAAAGAGCTCCATGTCAGCTTTCTACAGCATTTCTCACTATTACCTGCACCACTACAAACATATGTGCTAAACATGTTGTCTATAAAGCACTGTCTTCTTACAGTACTTAACATCAACTTGGCAAAGTAAGTTCTTTGATCTACAAGCAATTCATTACTCTTCATTACCTGTAATTCATTTACTATTTTACTTTGTTTCCCAGATAGAATTAGCACTTGATATTGGAACATATATATGATATAGCATATATGTCATATATATATAGCATATTTTAAATAGGTATGTACACATATATGTAATTTATTAATAAGGCAATGATTTGAACCTTTAGCACACTGAAAAACCTACTTTTCATTCCTGCCCAAGCTTAAGGACTTTGTCCTCTCTTTTTTCAAAAGTTCTCTACACCTTTGTGTCATGGTTTAGGAATAGTATTCCCCAATTTAGTGTTCCTAGTGCAACACTCCAAACCAAGCACCACTCAATCACTCCCCCTTCCCCTGGGGTGGGCAGGAGAGAAGAACTGGAGGTACAAAAGGTAAAGAACCCAGGCTGAGACAAGAACAATTTACTGGAAACAGCAATGAAGTAAGACAAGGAACAGTAAAAGCCACAATACAAACAACAGAGTGTACAGGGAGAGAGGTGAACAATTCACACATTAATGCTCACCCCACAGAAAACCTCCAAAAATACCCAACTGCTCCCTCTGCCCCGTGAGCCTTTCCCCATCCCTGGAAAATGACTGAGGTGGTACAGAATAACCTCCAGGTCCTGGCCACTGCAAAACTTAACCCTGTCCTGGCCAGAACTAGGACATTACCCACCCCTTATTTTATACCATCTACGTTGTCCCCAAATCCTACACCTTCCTACTATACCTGTGTATGTGTATATGGATATACACACACATATATATGCATACCCAAGCACAGGTATCACTTCCATAGCCAATGGCCATCCCCCAAGACGTCTGGTGAGCTCATTCAGTCCATGACTGTGGGTTCTGTCCATCCTAGATGTCTTCCAGGGCAGGAGGGCTGGAGTGCTGTCGGCTGGTTGCACGGTGCACCAGGAGCTTGGACTGGTGTATGTGGAGCACATACTCATTGTCCACAGTAGTTCTGGCATACAGTGGCAGTGCCATTGAACAATCAGCGTTATACAATTCAGCCTTACAGACTGCAGCCCAACTCTTGGGTATGTGTGTGTCTACAA